GCCGCCGCCGCGGGGGGAGGCCCCCCACCGCACGGCCGGGGGGGGAGCCGGCAGCCGTACCCGCCGTACGGGCAGCACCCGGCGTCGCAGGGCCACGGCGGGTACTACGACAAGTAGGTGGAGCGAGCGTTAGCAGCAGCCACCATGCCCTTCCGAACGCTGTGTGGGTGGGTTTGCGACAGTATTTTTTTGGGGGAAAAGTACTTGCTCCGGGGCAAGAGAGGTTTCCGGCCACCGGATCCGGTCGGGAATGGATTCCATGGGATCAAGTGCGATGCGATGCTATGCGTCGAATCGAAACCGACTCAAAACGAGAGAATCGGTTTTGGCACGTCGGCGAGGAATGTTTGTCACCGTGTTGGCAAATTGCTTTGGGGTTTTATTGTTTTTCAAGTACGTTAAAATCAAAATGATAGCTAGATGCCATTACGCGCAATACAGTATTCGTACGGGAGTAGGAATAGACCGTTTTGTAAGGCGCGCACCAGAAACGGAAGTTGCCTGCGTCCACAGGAGACAGGATCAGTCCCTTTGGTGTTCCGTCGATTTTTTCATCAAAAGGGAATCAGTCCGATGGTAACGCAGAATTCCGACCGTATCTTGTCGGGTTCCTCCGATCATCCCGTCGGGTGCCTGTCTGCCTTTGTCGGCGGTGCCGTTGGTCGTTCGTCGTTGCTGTGTTCTGCCGGTGCCTGTGCGTATGTGTGCAAGCAAACCAAAAAGGAACGAAGACCTATGGGATTCGTGGATTCGTGGGTCGAGTTGAGTCGAGTCGAGTCGAGTCGAGTCGAACCGAACGGAACGGAACCCATGAACGGGGTGGGGATCCCCCATCGTCTTCACCACCGCTGGTCTTCTTGTTGCCGTCGGGATTGCTTCCCCCACTACCCGTGTTCCCGGAGGCAGGCGTGCAGCTTGTTCCGGACCTGCTCGCAGCGCTGCTGCTTGAGCTTGCTGTTGACGACCCGGCGCTTCCACCGCTCGTGGTGCTTAAAGGTCTCCATCCGGTGCTCCTGGGTCGCCTTCTGTCCCGGGGTCGGGTCCCGGAGGTCGACCTTCATGATCCGCGGGTTTCCGAAGCAGTAGGCCTCGTCGTAGGAGGAACAGTAGCCCTTTCCCGAGGGCCCGCCCTCCGACCCCCGGTCCGAGGGGGTGGAATAGTAGGCGAGGGCCTCGGAAGTGCAGCGGGCAAAGGAAAGGCACCGCTTGGCCCGGAGGGAGGGGATCCAGCACCTCTGGAAGCGCTCGGAGGAGGAAAGCGCTGCGGTGGGGTCGCTCGGATCGCCGAGGCCGTGCTTCTCGTAGCAGGCCCTCTGCTTGGTCAGGACGGCCCCGCACCGTTCGCGGCTTTCCGCCTGTCCACCGAAGGGGGGTTCCGTGGTGGAAGGGGTGGCAGTGGGTGCGTTCGAAACCATGGCGATGGGTTGGGTTGGGATGGCTCGGCTTCGGGGGGGGGGAGCGGAACGGATGGAGCACGTCGTCTTTTTGACCGATAGGATGCACGGACAATGAATCTTATCTTATTGATGAGGTATGCAACCTCGTTGTTTGATGTTGTGCAAGAGAGGAGTGTGTGTATCAGTTTTTGATGGAATGGATTGACTCATCGGAATGAGGATATCTTTGGACAAGGGAGTTCGGGTTGGAAGGGTTTGTATCGTAAGTACTCGTACCCTTAGTCGTAACCTAAGAACGGTACAGGGTTCCGGTGTTCCGCTTTTCGCTTCATACCAGTTCACCGTTCAGCTGGTAAGTGTGTATCGTACCATATGTAATATGTACGATACATACGACATTAGATAGAAAGCACGCATTGGTCATAATTCATATTTTGGATCTATGCGCTGGCTCCGGCATGTTACGAATACCGTTCCCACCCTACGAGTACCGTAAAACTCTGCGGTGGGAGATTTTTGGAGAAATGCCTGCGCATCGCAGCATTCGCATCGCAACACAAATTTCCTTCTCTCAAAATCGCAACGGAGATAAGGTACAGGGGCAGCAGCATACCAACACAGGAACAGAAGCATCAGCACCCGTACGGTCGGCAACCACAAGCAATGCCAATCCAGTACCATCGTGCGCAGCGCATCCTGTTGCTGGCGCTGGCGGTCGCCACGGCCCTGGCCGTTTCGGCTTCCACGGAAGCGTCGAAAGCCGGCACGCCACCGGCTTCCGTGCCGAGCGGCGGATCGGGCGCCACGGAGAACCAATGGTTCCCCGTGCGCGAAAGCGACGGCGGGGAAGAACCCCTCGATCCGCAGCCCCTCCGGACCCTCCTGGTCAAGATCCTGGCCTCGGCCCTTGCCCTTGCGATCGCCCTTCGGTCCGAGCCGTCGGACAAGCCACCCGAAGGGGTGGCACCCCCGGAGCCACTCCCGGCGGCCCGCGGGGGCTTGCCCGAGAACGAAAAGGCGGAACCCCGCGGGGAAGCCCGCGGGGAACAAGGCGAAGCGAATGCTCAAGCCATCCACCCGAACCACCGCGTCCCTTCGGAAGGCATCCCCGGCGGCGGCGATTCGACGGACGAACCCACCGAGGCGGACCACGGAGAAGCAGAAGACACCCCACCCGGGGACCCTTCGCCGGAGAACCCGGAGGAAGAGACGAGATCGGCAACCACCCCTCGATCGACGTCCGTGGTCCGCGGACAGGTCAGGGAGCTGAAGCAGCAGATGCACACCCTCTCGACCATGATGGAACGGCTGCAAGACAAACTGGACAGGTACAAGACGACGGAGACGGCGGTCGCAGTCGCGGACACACCAACGATTCCAGCGAGCGAACCAAGCAAAACGATCACGGAACCGATGCACGGATCCGTGATCTCAGCGACACCCGCCATCGAATCAGCGGCGTAACAAACGAAAGGAACGCAACGCAGCGCAACGCAGCAACGCAGTGCAAACCGCGAGGCCCGGCGACCGGGAGATCCTCCCGGGGCCGAAACAGATCCATCGACCGGGGCGGCTTGGTCGAGGGGCTTGCGGGCACGCCCACCGCAACCGTCCCGGGCAAGGGGCCGGTTGGTTCCGTCTTTGTTCCGGGCCTTCCGACCGGAGGATTCTCCGGTGCCGACCGACCGACCGACCGTTCCCGGTGCGACGCCCGGGCCGGCGTGTGCCCCGCGCCCGCACCGAAAAAACACCGTGGTGAACCCAGAAAACGCAGCAACACGGGAACCCGCGAGGACATTCCACAAGTACGAGTAGATATTGAAGAAACCTCACTCTTTATTGTAAACAAGTTAGTTGTATCACAGGTCACCTTTGTTAGCCTAAGAAACACCACCTCGTCTCATGAAAAAAAGTGACCAAACGGCGGCCAATCCAAAAACATGGAGATGCGATTTTTCCCATAGCACCAGCCTTTCTAGCTCTAGCTCTAGGGGTTGCATAACTCATTGCGTGGCAAAATGGCCGCCGTGCGTACGGGGCAAAAGCATGTGTCGCGTTGCAGCCGCGGCCCCGGACGAGGCATCGGCACGGTGTCACCGACCGCGAGGGCACTCGAGGTGGTCCACCACGCCACGCCACGCCACGCAGTCGATCCCTTCCCGCTGCCGCCTCCGGTGAAGCGCCAAGGCCACCATCAACACTGGCCCGCCAGGAACCGGGCCTCGAACCCGTAGCGGGAGGGGTGGTTGTTCCCTCTGGATCCGGTTCGCCCCAGAGGCCCGGTCCACCCCGGGGAGGACGGAGGCCTCCAGAGTCGAACAAGTCCGTGTGCTCCGGCTGGTGCTCCGAGAACCGGGCGCGGGCCCCTGGGAGGCCGAGTCAGCCCCGCGGGTGGGGGCCTCGTTCGTGGAGGGCGCACTGGAATGCCAGACGACAAAGACGTCCGGCCCGGACACCTCCCTTTCGATTTCCGAGGAAGGAGGTCGAGCGACTTGCAGTGCTCCCTTTGACCGGTTGTTTCCAATTTGATCACGGAGACTGTGTTCGTCTTCTCACAAATTTACCCGGAATACGGGCTTTTGGGTTTTCCAGGAATTAATGTACCCATTGGTTTTTCGCTCTTTGCTTGTTTCCTTGCAACGTGGAATATGTTCATTGGCCATAAGATTTTTCCTTTCCGTAGTACAATTAATACTTAATGCCAAAAATAGCTCCCGTATCCTGAAGTTGGTATGCTCTCGATCACAGTAGAAGTACTAGTGACCGAACCTGGCTGCTGTAGTCGTAATGTTCTCGTACCGTACGTATGGTACAAAATACAGTTGCTTACTGCTCCTCCGTACTCGTAGTCATCGTTGACGTCCAATACAATACAGTACTGCAAAAGAACACCGCCCGACACGAAACAAAACGAGACGACACGACACGGCACGCCAAGACTCTTCTTTTTGTGTGTTTGTGCATCCGACCCTGGGGAAAACCCAACGGAAATGGTGGTCTCCATCAAGAGGCATCCCCCATCCTCTCAAAGTGGCTCCGGACTGCCCGTGATTCGTTTTCGGATCGACCAGCCCGCACCGGCAACCACATCGACATCGGCATCGGCATCGGCATCGACGACACCAGCAAATCATTGTGCGAGCAGTGACAAAAACAACAGCAACATCATCAACAACAACAACAACAACAACAACAACAACAACAACAACAACAATTACAACAACAACAGCTATTGCCTGGAACCAACGCAAGACAAGCCGACAGCCACCGAGACAACGAATCGCATCGACCAACAACCGCGTCAAAAGCAGCGAAAGGATCCAGACATGACCGCGAACGAACGACGACGGGCCAGCGGCAGCAGCAGCAGCAACAACAACAGCAACCACTGTAGGGGCGGTGACCCCGCTCCACCGCCACACGGAAACGCCCTCCAGCGGCTCGAAGACCACTGCCCGGGATCGACGGCCGCCGAGCGGAAACGCTTCCTGGCCGCCAGGGGCGGGGACTACCCAGAGGCCCTGGAGCAGCTGAGGGGCTACCTGGAATGGAGGCGGGAGCACGGGCTGGACGGGAGCGACCACTGCCCGCAAGACGACGACGACGAGGACGACGAGTCGTCTTTGGTCTGGCACGCCTGTGTCCAGGACGACCAGGCCCTCGACGAGCTCGACTGGGAATACGCCTCGCAAAGGGCCCTCGCCCACGAGGCCCGGAAGAAGGGGTCTCTTGCGGGTGGTGCTTGCGACCCGGTCCTGCCACAGCTGGCGAGGATCGTCGTGGTGCAGGGTTGGGAAAAGAAGGAGGCCCCAAACAAGGCAACCCAGCGCCCCCCCCACGGCCGCGAGACCCACGCCCGCGACGAAAAGGGCCGCCGGATCCTCCAGCTCCTCCCCGCCCGGATGGACCTGGCGATGGCCCCCGAGTCGGCCTTTGCCCTCTGCATCGCCCTCTACCTGGAGCGCAAGCTCGGCCGGGACTCGGACGAGAAAATGACCGTCCTCCTGGACGTCCGGGGGGGGGAGGGATGGGCCAACCCCTCCCCGAAGAACCTGGTGCCCTTTGTGAGGGAGGTCTCGGCCCTCCTCGAGCGGAACTTTCCCGAGCGGCTGGGGGGCTGCCTCCTCTTTCCGGTGCCGGGGGCGGCGATGCTCCTGTGGAGGATCGTCCGGGCCTTCCTGGACCCGGACACGGCGTCCAAGATCGCCGTGGTCAGGGGGGACGCCCGGACGGGGGCGGCCCCGCCCTACGCGGCGCTGGAGGAGCACGTGGCCAAGAGCGTCCTCGAGCGGACCGAGGAGCTCCGGTGCGCGAGCTTCTCGGGGGGGGGGGGGTGTGAGGATCGGTGCCTCCTCCCCTCTTCTCGACCGTAATTATGCGGTTTGAAAAACCGTGTATTTGGTGAGCAAAGCAATTGTCTGCTTATTCGTAGGAAATCAGGTGTATGGAACGACGCTGCGGAACGGAAAAAGAATCCGTTGGAGTTGGAGCCACGAAACATTCTTCTATGCCGCGGCTTGCCCCGCCCTTTGCAAGGCCTTGCTTCCGTAACACAACGCCAACGGCGGAATTGAGACCGAGAAGCGGGCAGCGGCTTGCGCTTGCGCTTGCCCGGATCGACACCAATCGCCGTCACTGTTGCCTTTGCTTGGTTGATCCTTGGAGACGCTTAGTTAGATCTGTGCCCATAGCAACGATAATCGACTGCGATCTAACTAAGCGTCTCCAAGGATCCACCAAGCAAAGGCATCAGAGACGTCGATTCCCCTGTATTCTTTCTTCCACCAATAGCTTCCACAGGGGCCCATAGCAACGACAATCCTGCCTCCGGGCCGTAGCGTACCGCACTATTGCATATTGGGGCACTACCTGCACAGCTCCAAACGAACAGCAGACCCGGAACCATCCTCCACGCTATTCATCCATCCACCTGCGAAACGCACCCGAATTTCTTGGCCGCTGCTACGAGATCGTCCTCGTGATTAGGACAGCAGAGACTTAACATATCGAATCAAAAAAACATAAAATCAATCTAATATTTAAACTCGTGAAACTAGAAGAGGCGCTCGGAATGCCAGAACCATGGCTCGGGGAGGAACCATGCTCCTAGCCATTCCTCCCAAGGCGCGAGATGGAACACACACGAATGTACTATATTATCTAATGGTGATGCAGCGTTGCCACGGTTCCCAAGGCCGGTCTTTGCTCGTCTCCCCACCGGCAAAAGCCTTTGTTCTCGTTGCCGCGGCACCGGAGGGACCCCGGCGGTCTTACTGCGAGGAGGCGACGCCGCCGGTGCTTCCGCTCGCACCGCTTCCGTGGTAGCTGTTGGCAAAGGAGGAGTACTTCATGCTGCTGCTGCTGTCAGTAATGCCGCTGCCGCTGCTGCTCGTCGGGGGTTCGTCCCGGCTCCCCTGGGTGCGGAAGCTTGGGCTTGTGCTTGGAAGAAAGAGGTCCCCCTTGATGCAGTCGTAGGTCCGGTCCTCGCACCAGCGGTGGAGGCGGCCGGGTTCGCAGGGAGACAAGGGGTGTTTTTTCTTGTGCCAGAGGTACCCGCCGATCGCCAGAAAGAACCACGGGAAGAACCAGCCCCCGTGTTTTCGCTCGTGGTCCTTCTGGTCGATGATTGCATCCCCATCGGCGGTGGCCAAAGGGGGCTCGGTGCCGGAATCGGGTTCGCCGGGAGCGCCTCCCGCATCTTCGTTCGCATTGTCGGTCGCGTTCGCCGCCTCTTTGCCCCTCCGGTAGGCGGCGCAGGCCTCCGCCGCTGCGCCGCTTGTGCTTGCGCTCCCGCACAGGGCGAGCTCCACCACGTCCGGCCCCCCACAGGAACAGGGCAGGCCCACGGTCTCGGCCACAAAGGACGAGACCTTCCGGGCCAGGGGGGACGCACAGTCGACCCCCCAGATCCCCACGGCCTCGACCCCCGAGGCCCCTAGGTGGGAGAGGAACGCCCGCTCCAGAAAGGCCCCGTCGACCCTCTCGTCCTCCAGGAGGATGGAGAGGTGGCCCTCTGCGGACCGGGCAAAGGACGCGTACGCCGAGGCCCAGAACTTCCAGTAGGCTCCCGAGGATTCCCTCGTGCAGTTTTCCTGGTTCCCGTTGGCGCAAAAGACCAGGCCGTCCAGGAGGCTCCCCCCGGGGGTCGTTTCCGGGGTCACCCAGGGCCCGCCCTCGAGGAGGCCAAACGGGCTGGTGGTTCTTTCTTCGGTTTCGTCTTCGGTTCCGTCTTGGCTGCCCCCGCCGAGGGCCACCCGGACCAGGCCGGCGTCCCTCGGGGACGAAAAGTCCGCCTTGCTCGTGTAGGCTTCGGCAAAGGCCCGCTCGGTCAGGCCGGATTCGGTCCGGGACTCGAGGAGGTTCAGGAAGGACCCGACGAGCTCGCCGCAGGTCGTGGGGGGGGGGACCACCGGGGAGGGCCCGGACCAGCGCTCGTAGCACCGGCCCATCAGGATCTCCTTCAGAAAGGGATCGTTGGCGAAGGTTTCCGAAACCAGGGAGGCGGCGGCGAGGAGGAGGAGGGAGCGGGGGAGGCCCATCGTCGTGGTGGTAGTGGTGGTAGTAGTGGTGGTGGTAGGTATGGCTTGCTTTGGCTTTCTTGGGCTTGCTTGGGCTTGGGAAGGTGCGAGAGGAATCGAAACTGCCGCTGCGCTAATGGTGGAGACCAGGTGCACCGAAACGTCGATCTGCGTTGTGAGACTAAGGCGTGCGCAACCCGGGAAGGGAAGAACCCACCCCTCGGGCATCGCAAGGTCCGATGCGGTAGGTAGGTACACGAGAAAACCAGGAATTCCTATCCTCTATCTCGCCAACTACTAGCTGGTAGATCAGGACTCGTACTACAAGGCACGCAGCGTGGACAATCCCAGGACATCGCACGATACGAGTACGTAGTACTGGTGGGGTTCGGCAGGAAGTTTCGAAAAAGATCTTCCGCTTCGAACCCACCCGCGAGTAGGTACTTGTACATAAGACAAGCAGGTGCGAACGGGATTCGATCGAGGGAGAAGAAGAAGAACGACGAACGACGACGCATTCCTTTTGCGTTCCAGCGACCCAATCGAAAGAGGGAAGGAATCCCTGCTTCCGAATCGATCGATCGAACGAAAATCCATCCATCCATCGATTCCGAAGCGTGCACTAGGTACGGGTACCTACCGTACCGTACCGTAAAGGCGGGAGACGAGAACCTCCCGCCGGAACGGGATCTTTGATGGGGGTTGCGTTGCGATCCTTTCGAACCCGTGTGTGCGGTGGGGATGCATCCGGTTGAGTCGTGTTTTGCACCGATGCAAAGTATCGTAGTGTAGTACTGTAAGTGGTACGAGAACCGTACTAACAACATGTTTTTTAATTTGTTGTACACCTGAAAATACCCTTTACTTGTAATAACACGGGGAACAAAAGTTTCTTGTATTGACTATGGTACCAATGGGCAATGCACCTCTTTTGAATAAGAAACACAATACAAGAGTTCTCCATACTGAAGACAAATACAGCCTCAAGAATGTGTCACTCTTAGCGTTGTATCAAAATGACTGCTGTTACTCTAGTACTACTACTACTAGAACTCCTCCTCCTCACCAAGGACTTCTTATCTCTGGGAGCAGCAGCAGCAGCAGCAGCAGCAGGAGCAACTGCTGGGTGCAAAGCACCGGTTCTGGAACTGTCCTCATCCCATGATGGAGATAGTTTATTGGTGATGAGCTCAGTCCTGTTTCCATCTACAAGAACCAATTGAAAGGAAGATGGGATTCTTAGTACTAGATTTTAACTGTCCACATCTCCCCTCACCATGGCCCAGGGGGAGAGAGCAAAAAAATCCTCAGCTTGGACGTTTTCTCACTCCATTGACCCCCTTTGCTGCCATATTGACAAGCTACTACTAGTAGTATTAAGTTTGATATGAAATTGATTTTAAAGTGCTCAAATTGGACTGAAAGAAGAGAGCTGATTGTACTAATATAGGAGCAACAATTATTTGCACTGTAAAAAATAGTAGTAGTACTAGAAACAGTGTTTCTTTTGTCACCAATTTCACTCAGCCAGCCAGTCCTACCAAACATGAAACTGGTCTAGTCCAAGACTCTATCAGTACTCCTAGCACTAGAAATCTGTATCACCAGTGGCAGAAATTAGTAATGGAATCACTTTTCAGCAATCAAGAAGTAGTGGAAAAACCCATTTCAAGACAATTCAGTAAATTTAGAGTTGCACACCCACCAACAACAAAGAGTCTGCCGTGTTTCCTGTGGTGTGCTACTAACGACACGGGAACATTCTATTTCTTCTTGGGATTCCTTTTGTGTTTGCTTCTGTAAGACTATTTGTGCATTTGCTTGCCCTTACACTCATAGTAGTTACTACAAATAGTTGTACAGACTTTGTTTCTTTGGTGCTTGTTGCTTGCTACTTGGGAGCATCTTCCATTTCAAATTGGGATACAAACCTAAATACTCGGGATGCATTCCCTCAAGAAATACAGGGTTGTAATGGTTGTTTTGGTACGATGCAGAGCTAGGCTGGGTGGTTTGGGTATGGGTTTGAGCAAGGCTGGGGTTTCGTTGATTGCATCGAATTTCCCCCCGATAATCGGTCAGGCATGCACTAGTACAAAACTACTCGTATTGCGGGTTCTGTTCGCAAAAAATAATCGTTCCTATCTATTTCGAACAAGTTGTATCTATCCCCGAGTGAAATCGATGAAAGCATTTCTGGTGCACGGTGTCGTCTTTTTTTGTGTTTCGTCCGGTCGTGCCGCCATTCGTGTCGTTCAGCCAACGATTCTGAGATCGACCACCATGGGAGATCCGGGGCTGGCTCGCACGGAGAGCTGCCCCACGGCCAGGGAACGCAGCGCCACTCGGGTGGGTTTGGCCTTGGTGGTTCCCCTTTCAAGGTTTGCCAACGGTTCGGTCGCCTCGTCGCATTCGTGTTCGTCTTCGTCGGCGGCATCGGACGACAGGGACAGGGACGACGACGACGACGACAGCGATAGCGTGGTGGAGGTTGTCGAGTGTGTTTCCCTGTCTAGCAGCTTCGGGTCGTGCTCGGGGTCGGTGCAATCGTAGAGCCGATAAAAAGGGACTTTGTACAAGAATCGGTCCACGTCTACCTTCGAGGCGAGCTTCCCACGCCCCGGCATCATTTCGGGCATGGCCTGCGACTCGTCGATCAACCGGGACAGCACCGAGTCTTCCTCTGCAATGCCGCTCTGTCGCTTGGCTTTGACCAGCACAAACTTGGAGAAGGTGAGGGGGTGCATAAAGGGTTTGATCATCCGGAAGATTCCCGTGACCACGTAGTGGGGATTGAGAATCACGCATGTTTTCAGGCGTCCCGGATAAAAGTTTTGGAGTATTCCAACGGCGGCCTGCAGGGTCTTGAAGGGCGGGCAGGAGCTCCCCTTGGTATCGAGAACGACGACGATCTGGTCCTGGCGGCCGATCGATTGGAACTCGGAAGAGGCCGCGGCGCGTTCCACGGTGTACACCAGCGAATCCACAAAGGCGTCCTCCGAGGTCCCGGCTTTTCGGCGGGGAAAGGCAAAGAAAATCGCGCGGTCCTCCCGGTCGTGGCCCCGAACGACGTTGGTTTGGAGGTCCTTCATTTCGTCGCCGATGCGTTCCCTGCGTCCCTTGCTCAGTTCCTTTTCGGAGTCCGACAGGCCCTTGTCCGCGCCGGGAGCGTCAACCATGCAGGTTCGGTAGAGCGCTGTTTTGTGGGACCGGTGAAAGTCCAGGGTCTCCCGAAAGACCTTTAGGACCTCCGATCGGTGGTCGGCGCAGTCCAAGTGGCGGCGTGCCTCCTGCATGGCGCTCGCAAACCGGGCGGGATCTTTGACGGCTTGCGCCGAAGGTTCCTCGAGCGAGCGCCGCGAGAGATACCAATAGGCATAGGAGCACCGGGCGGCGATTTCCTGCTCCTCTCGATCCAGCTGTCCGACGAGCCACCGCGCGTCTTCGTGCTCGGGACGGTGGGATTCCTCTTCGTAGTGGGAAAGGATCTCTCGGCACCTTTCCTCCGCGAACTCGTTGTTGGTCCGTTCGATTTCGATGCCCAAGGCGTGTCTCCTTGAGCCGTCGTTCTCGGTTCCGCACGCATCGCTTGTTGTTTTGAGTTCGTGCGAGCACGGAGGCGACAGCAGCATGGCCGTCATGGAGTTTCGGAGCGGTGTTGGTGCGATGCGAAGGACGCTTCGACGAGCTGGAAGCACGGGGTTTGCCAAAATGGGAGCGAGAGGAGATTCCGGTTGTTCGTTCCAAACGAAGCATTCGCAGCGCAACGTACTCGTACTCGTTCCGTAGCGTACTTCTACTCGTACCTCCGCAGATGGGGATCGGATCGGCATCGGAAGGGCAAGCGAAGGAACGGGAAACGGAAACAAAAATTCCGTTGCGAAAAAGATGGCTGACGGTTGCGAAAAAAGGTGAGTAGGCCAGCGGAGTAGCACTCTGGGTTACCGTCTTGCTCTAACGCTCGCGATTCTCCGTTTCAAATAAATTAAAAACAAAGCAAAACAATAGCTAAAAACCATTCTACATAGCGCGCGTGAACTCGTTCCGTGTGATGGCAGGGTCGTGAACTACGGGCGTCATAATTATTTCAGAGCAGTGCGCAGTAGTACGTGTTCTATTACTTAAGGTTAGTACGGTACGGTACGGTACGGAAACTCTTGGTTCATCAATCGTAGAAACAGGCCGTACAAGTTCTTCCCAACTGTTTGTAAGAAGTTTCATCAACTCGATCCCATACCATACAAGTCGTACGTACGATACGTACGTCCTGGAAGCAATATCGTATGTATCATAGTCGCACCTGGGGGTTAGAGGTTGGAGTACTATTATCAATCTTTGGCCGACGTGGGTGTGCTTCGTTTCCGCAGCATCCTCATTCGTGCTATGAGGTTTGAGTGCAGTCCAACCACTGGCTAGTGCAAACAAAACCGGAATGGAAATCTAGGACAATTCCAAACCAGAGCCCTCCGCTGCTGGTTTTCGGGAACCCTTCCTAAAGGGGCACGACCCGAATTGTCCAACAACCGCTTTGGGTTCCCCGCTTCGTGGGCTTGGAACCAGTGGTTCCAGTCAGTTCTTCCGGCAGCACGTTGCAAACAGACACACGCAATCCGTTCCACGTTCCGGGACCCGATGGGTTCTTCCAATCGAATACAGGATACAGACCAGGGCCGGTCCGTTCCTTTGCACCGTGCAGGCATCCCGGGACCAGCTTCCGATTCGCTCGTAACGTGTGGCTGGCTGGCGATTGAAACGAACGAACGAACGAACGAACAAACGGATTCGATTCGATTCGATTGTGCACCCGGCTCAAGGGCCCCGGCGTCCCCCTCCGGCCTCCTCGTCCAAATCCGCGTCCGCGTCCGCATCTACACCTTCGTCCTCGTCCTCGTCCTCGTCGCTCCCTCGCGGCGGCTCCTTCACCGGGACCTTGCAGTAGGGACAGACGCCCTGTCGCTCCGTCAGCCACGGGAGGATGCAGTCGGTGTGAAAGGCGTGGCCGCACCGCGGGAGCAACCGGAGGGGCTCGCCGGCCTCGAAATCGTCGAGGCAGATGGAGCAGGCGGTCGACTTGGTGGTGGTGGTAGTGGTGGTGGTTGCGGTCGACGCCGCCGCCGCTTCCCCGGCATCCGCGTCGGTGCAAGGGCCGCCGCCGGGCTCGGCGTGTTCCTCGGTCGGGCTGCCTTCCTCTTTCCCCGCTCCGATCCGAACCACCTCCGCCGTTTGGTGGCAATCGCAATCGCGATCGCAATCGCCGGATCCGTGGGCCGTCCCGTGCTCGTCTTCGCCCCGGAGCGGCGCCGGGGCGGAAATCTCCGGCAGGGCGAGGACCTCCGCGTGCGTCAGCCGGTCGGGGACCGCCCGCGGGGGACGGGGGCCGTGGGGATGGGAGCCGGGACCCCCCTCCGCCGGGTCGACCAGGCCCGTGAGAAAGAGCCACCGCTCGATGTCTGCCGGCCGGTAGCGCAGGCCGGTGGGAAGGCCGATCCCCCGTCCGCGGTCGTCGTACGAGGAGTACCGCAGGAGGATCCGGCCCCCCGCGGAATGCCACACCCCGAGCCCGCGGACGCAGGGGTAGCAGACGAGGCACAGGAGGGCGCCGTAGCGAAAAAAATAAAAGGCGTAGTTGATCCACCCGCGGGAGTACGGCTCGCGGTCCGATTCGTCGTCGTCGCCCTGGATCGTGGCCTTTTCGCCGTCAAAGACGAGGACGATGGGACGACGGGTGGGAGCGACCGTGGGGGCACCGGTCGCACCGGCGGAGGGGATCACCCCCGAGCCGCCGGTGGCTTCCCCTTCGGCCGCGCAGAAAAGAATCGCCGGGCCCGCCGACAGGGACAGGACCGCCGCCACCACCGACCAGCACAGCGCCGCCGCAGCGGACCGGAACCGGGTGCGCCTGCGGAAGGTGCTCCGGGTCGCGGACGGCAACGGCGATGGCCCTTGCTCCATGGCACGGTGGTGCGTGGGTTTTCGATGCGCTGGCACGCAGACCACCCGCTGTCGCATTCCTCCGCTCCGCTCCGCTAGGTTTGTTGTTCGGCTGTGCCGCTGCGTCTGCTTCCGGGGGGTCGCCACGCAATGCKGTGTTTGGTGGTCTCTTGCACTCGCAGGATGCCGGACCGTGTGCAGGTTCCGAATGTGGTGTTGTGTTGTGTTGTGTTGTGTTTTGGTTCGAATCGAATCGAATCGAATAAAATCGACCGTCCGGGCCCTCGATCCAGCCAGGGTTCTTCGAAGGCTCCTTGATTCTTTGGTTTGCTCTCCGTGCTTCGTCGGGCGTTGTGCACTTGCCGAGGAATGGGTGAGATGATGGTCGTTGCCTTGCCGTCCAAATGCTATCTGTAGTTGATGATGGCACCGAATCTTTTGTGGTAGCAGCATTGAGTCGTGACGCGGGGGGGGGGGTGATTTTGTCCGGAGGAACGAACGAAACAACGCAGAAACACAAACACGAAGCACGCTCTTCGGTTTGGGGAGCTGGTGGGTTGGACAGGCCATGATGATGCCTGCTAGTAGAGAGAAACCTAAGACTAGAAGAGTGATTTTTGATTTTTTCGATCGTCGAACGTTCGGTGCCGTACGGTACGAACGTACGTACGGGTCAAAGACACAAGATTGGCTCGCGAACGCAAATACCGTCTACCGTACGGTGCAAAAACTGAGTTAGTGCCAGCAAGGTTGAAGTTATGCTCTGAGAAGAATGTATAGTAGTAGTATGTTCTTTCTGAAATAGTAGGAATAGAAATCATGAATTTGTTGTGTATGCTGGGTATTGTTTTTGTTGTTGGTGTTGTTTTTTGTAGTAGTAAGCAGAAGAGGTGATCTTACTACAACAAGAAGAACAACAAACAGCCACCAGCAGAGGAGCATTCTTGGCGCCGGAAGACGAAGTTTTATCTCTTCTTCTTGTTGAAAGCACAAGAACATAAATCCAATTGCTTCTCTAAGACCAAGTTGAAACCAACACATTCCAAAGACCTCCCTGTAATTTGTGAACAGTTCTTGCAGCATTGGCAATGATTTTAATTGGGAATTGAGATAGTAATTGTATTCCCTTCTTCTTGTGACTTGTTGTTGAGTCTGATTGGTACTGCTACTACTAGTAATTTGAATTCCTGCAGGAATCAAAATGTTACTGTTGCTGCTGTGTTGTGTTGTGTTGTGTTTTGAGAAGATAAAGTACCTCCATCCATTCAACTTTCTTGGCATCTACTAGTACAGCACATTGAACATAAAATCCATCAATGTTGATAATTTCACAATCGTTTAGGTCAATGTAGAGATATTTTATGAAGTTTTGAGACAAAAGCAGCAACAATCTGGCTAAATTCATTTTCTTGGTCTATGTCAATTTAAAAATTCAACTTTGCATAGTAGTGTCTGATATTTTCCAATGCACCAGTAAATGCGAAGTTTTTCATAGTAGTAGCTTTTGCATGATCAGTCTCATGGGTGGCAGCATCAAAGAAAACACTTCTTTGAAGCTCATTAGGTTTTATGTTTTGGTTGAGATTTTGTGCATTGTCTGTAGAAAAAACCAAGTTACTACCTGAACTTGAGTTCTGAAGTGCAATTGCATTTGAAGATGGTGGGACTTTTGTTGTTTTCAACAGTGTTCTTCCACATTTGTGTTGGGAACCTTGACAAGTGACAACCAAACTGTCAATTTGCAGCTTCTTGAATGTTTCTGTGAACTGAATCTGGCATGGATCATATATCATATCCATATTGTCAACAAAATTTGCTTGCAGCTCATCAAACAAACAAAGATTGCAACTTACTTCCTCATTAGTTTGACAGTAGTTTAATCTAGTAGAGCATCTTTTGATCCCCCTAAATTAAAACTGGTGTACCAATTTTAGACATTTTTTACTAGCAGTTTCTGATGATTCAGTTTCAAGTTCCCACTTTTTAGATTTTCCCTGCATTTTGATAAATATTTCAAATCTGTCTGGAGTTTTTTTTGGATTCCTAAATGAAAAAAATAGAATCATTGCTGTTTTAGCATATGTTTCCATTGCCAATAAGTTGTGATCAGTATCTTTTGGATGATTGATGTTACCATCATCAATGGGGATGCCTCCAAAGCTTTCACTGTTCCCGTTTGGAAATTTTCAAGTGATTTTCTTTTACAGGGTGTGGAGTTGCCCAATCAATTTTTTCCTTTTTTCTTCTTTGATTTGATTCAAGCCAGAGAAAAAATTCATTAACAGAAACATATTCAGGTTTGCCTGGTGTGCACAAATAATTTGCAACATGAGATTTAAGAAATAGAAATTGTTTGTTTTGAACTGTATTGGAATCCAATTAAATTCCTCAATTGTCTCTCTCTCAAAACAATCAAGACCAAGAAATTCAAATTCATTAGAAAAGTGGAAACAAGACTCATTATTTTGAATGAGATACTACTAGCTTGCAATGGGACCAGAAACAATGTGTGACTTCATTGCTATGCTTCATGATGCTCTTCCCCAACTTCTGTGGAGAGGAGGAACTGGCAGTTTTTTTTGTAGGACTCAACTTGTCCAACAAGTTATCATGCATGTCATAGCCATAAGTAATAGTCAAAGCTGTTCATATTTATTGTTGTTGTTTGCTTCTTTTTAATGTCAGACTAACTGATCACAAAAATAACTGAATTTGTGAGTCTTGGGAGAATTTAGTAGGAGATTATTCTCTTACATTTTGAAACAGCCAATCACAAATTTGACTTACAAATATTTATGTGAGTCTTGGGAGCAATTTGGTTCTCTTAAATCTTGGAATGACCAATCGCAACAAATACAACTGACTTTTTGAGTGTTGGGAGTAATTTGTTTCTCTTCTTAAATACTGGAATGACTTCTTGTTGTCACAATAATGTCTGAATACTTAAGTTAAAAATGAATAATCTGTTTTTGGTCAAGGCAGTCATTTATTTGCAAAAAACCGGTATACCAGGGTTTAGTAAGTCCAGGGCTGTGAGAATTCTTCAAGGTTACTGGCTACTGTGCACTAAAGATAATTGTAGTCCAGTGCACCATAGTCAACTTTTCCGTAGTCACTGTTTTTAGTAGTAGAATCAAGCATGCCTCTTTCTTCTTGTAATTCAAAAAGAGAGGTTAAGAAGGCATACTAGCTATAAATAAAAGAGAGGTAAAGAAGGAATACGAACTATATATATCAACCTTTTCTATAATCTGCCTATCCTATCAGTTGTTTCTTTTGCCACATGTCCCCATATACCATGTGACTGAACTCCATATAAAACTAGCATGTGCTGGCAGTAGTTTGATTTTGGTGCATCCCAACGAGTTGCCATTGGCCAGAACACACAACATACCAGTAACGCAAAACAGCGTGCACAGGGGAACAAGAAACGGTTGTGTAATGCAACTCGGCAACGTTGCTACTACTGACAACAAATAATTATACACGAAACATATAGTGCACAGGACAGAACCGCCCAGCGACTCTTTGGGCGTCAAGAGCTAGGTTCCGGCGTTCCCCCTGTCGGTACCATTGTTGTTGTTGCTGTTGTTGTTGTTCCTGTTGTTGGCACCGGCTTCCTCGATGACCTCCATCTTGCAGAGGGGGCAGCAGCCCTGCCGCTCCCTGAGCCACGGCAGGATGCACTCCGTGTGGAAGCCGTGGCCGCACAGGGGGAGGAGTCGGATCTTCTCGCCCACCTCGAATTCGTCGATGCAGATGGAACACGTCGTGCACGTCGTCGTGGTAAAGGCCCTCAGCCGTCGCTGGGTCCGAAAGGACAGAGGGGCCGCCTCTGCGGCCGGCTGCTCCTCGTCGGGGGGGAGGTCCTCCCTTGGCCCGCTGGGCAGCGACGACGACGCCGATGAGGACGACGACGACGACAGCGAGCCGGTTTCCGTCCCAACCCGCTCTGGGCTTCCCGGTAGCGCGAATCTTTCGGGTTCGGGGCAAGGGATCGTATCGGAAGGGGCGCGGACGGTGTCGCCGTCCGGGTCGTTCGAACGCGCGGCGCCCGTGGTTTCGTCCGGGGCTTCCGCTCCGGTTTCGCTCCGGTCGTCGCTCTCGTGGTAGATATGGTTCGGGTCGGTGGCCTCGGTCGGCGCCTCGGTGGCGGCGTCGTCCTCGTGGTCAAAGTTTGGCTTTTGGTATATTATTTCCGGGAGTGCCATGATCTGCTCGGTGGTCAGCCGGCCGTGGACGCGCTCCCCTTCCACGGGCTCGTAGGGACCGAACCAGTTGTCCATCGGGGGGATGTATTGCAGGCCGACGATCCGATTGCTTTCGTCCTCGCTGTGGCGGAAGCGAATCCGTCCACCGCCGGCCCACCACAGATGAAAGGCTCTCAGGCACGGAGAGATGATCAGCAACCCGAAAAGGACGTACTTCAACACGTTGAACGTGCTGGGGGCTCGGTCCGAATAGGAATTGGAGCCTCCGATGTTTTTGTTCGTTAAATAGTCATCGTTGCCGACGTCGTCGTCATTCGGGCTCCCGAGAACCGGGGATGGCGGTTCTATTATTTGCAAACGCATATCCTAACGCCAGTGATGATCAACAATTGAAATACAAGAGGTGAGTACATCTTCCCCTCGAATCCGAACGGCAATGTCCGAACGACTACTACATTCTGTGCAACACCCGGAAACGATGCGGTGTACGAAAAAAGTACACGGTGCTTACCATTCTCCATTTTTCGAAACCGGGCTCGAGGAACTCTGCACTGGCTATTGTGTCCCCGACGTTGTAGGTGCCCCGCAACACCTGTTCTTCGATGTTTGCTAGTATTAATCTGCCGACAGCAAAGGGCAGTGAGGCAAAGACGATCGAGTCGTTCCCTTCGAGCTCGGTCTTCAGGCGTTCCCGTTCTATTGTCAGCTGTTCTGCTAGGTCCTCCTCGAGAGCAGCATCGACATTGTCGTTGTTGGTGTCACTGCCGACGTCGATGATCGTTTCTTGGTTCCTGTCAAAGTCGTCGTCGGTTATTCCCCATATGGTTGGCAAGATCGAAGACGACCAGGTTTCAGTTGGTGCGTCTGTCGTTGGCGCGTACTTTGTTGGTTCAAACGATGTTGGTGCAGATGTCGACGGTGCCGCTGTCGGCGCGGGATCGCTGGTCGAAGCAGGGGTGGCGGTTGGGTCAGTAATGTTGCTCGAAGAAGTGCTCGACGCACTGCTCGGGTAGGAACTCAAGGTTGGTGCAAGCAGCGGCGTTGGTGCAGATGTCGACGGTGCCAGTGTTGGCGCGGGATCGTTGGTCGGAGCAACGGTGCTAGTTGGGGCAGGAATGTTGCTCGAAGACGTGCTCGGCGCGCTGCTCGGGTAGGAACTTAAGCTTGGTGCCAGGGTGGGAGATTTTGTCAGGGGTGCGAGCTCTCTGGCCGACGTCGACCGCGAAGTGTCATCCAGCGAGAGCGTGACAATGGAAGAAGGATCATACCGATCGTTGTTGTAGAAGAGCACGTATTTGAGATTCGAGGTGACATCCTTTTGGATCCTCAGGGCGTTGCTGGCCTTCGTCAACACGTCGCATCCTCCCGTTTCTAGCTCGACCAAGAGGGCCACGGGGATATTCTCTAGGTCGTTTCTGTAAGTTGCCATGAGCTCCTCCGGCAGCGTACACAGCTGGGACGTATCGGGTGGGGGCTTGGCAATCACCCCCTTGTAGTACATATAACGGTGGTGATCGATTGAATGCCCAAAGTCGACGGTCCCGACGATGAACTCGAGGTTCGACTTGAAACGCATGGATATGGTGAGCGAGGCCCTCTTTTTCTTCTCGTCCTCGTCCTTCCGTGTAAGGAATTCGTATGCTCCCGAAGCGGATTCGTACTGCTTGTTGGCTTCTTCCCTCGCGGCTTCTCTCTGGGCATCTGCTCCGTTGGGATCGTTCAGTCCGTAGTTGGGCCGGTTCGTTTGGGTGTAGTCGGGTACGGCCATCACAAACAGCGGCTGTAGCAATCCAGGAAGCGGGTGGCAGCCGGAAGAGAGCACCAAAACACACACCGCGAACAGCGTCCATAATGCATGCGAGAACGACGCAATCGCCCTCGTCATCGACATTCTAGACAAGGAGTTGCGATTTGATTTAGCCCTAACTTTTTGTTTTGGGTGGTGGCCAGCACGGAATCCTTTCAATCTTTCTCTTTCTATCCGCCTCGGTGTCTTTGGAATGGTTGCCGGGACAATAAATGGTTGTTGGTACAATTCTAATTCTCCACCGGTTTGTTTCTTTGTTTGCAAAATGCTTTTATGGTTCGTCGTTTCTCCTGTGAGAGGTGATCTTTTGGTTATCGTACATGGGATATCATTATTCGGGATCGAAGAAAGGGGAATCATCATTGAAGTGTGCGATCGATAATGGTAACACCAGTAGCAGCAGCGACAGCACAATCAGCATCAATACTGGCTGGGTATCGTACACAAAATAAGAGTGGCAATACCATTCACAGAACCAGCACCCTATGCAAGAAACGTGTGGTACCACTGATGATTATTCGTTGATGTTGTACCTTTTGCTTTCGAATGATATTTGCTGTTGTACCGTATCCAAGTTGATAAGAACTCAGTCCATTTGCCGTGCTGCTTGGATGTCTTATTCCTACCGAGACTTCTTTCACGGGATAGAATTCGTAGAGTGTAATGTACCGTGTAGCGTACAAACTTGTTCGATGGACTACCATACTGTACTTACTACCTACAGGTGTGGTACGTACGAGTGCATTCAAGAAACAACTTATTTTCGCCGAGTTACAGTAAAAGGGAAAAAATTCCCTCTGACTTCAACACACTACCGGTACGTACATAATATTTGTACATGAATGCAGTAAGACGATCAATTATCCATCCACGAAGCCTTGTGTAGGTATTCATGGTGCCCGCCTTGTAGTGTCAATAAATTACTATTAACAGTCATCATACCGGACGAAGAATGTCATAATACAACAGCTCCATCAAATTCTGTTTTTGAAAATTTCTACAATTACATCTGCATAAGCTAATAGTACTCGTACCAAATACTTGCAGGACAAAATAAGGAATTAAGGTAAGAGTAGCGGCCGTACATGTAGTGGTACCAAATGGTAGCGGGAGTCATGTTGTCGCCTTTGTTCTCGTGTAAGTACATATGTGGTCAATAACATGGGTTATTTCTATCGCTTATTTAACATTATGACCGCCACGAACAGCGCACAGGGCGTCGCTGAGAAAAATGAAGTGACAGACGAAGAAAGAAAAATGATTACTGTATTCGATCGAGAAAAATGTACTTTACGTAGGGTACCAACCATACGGTACGTATGTACCCGTATTATTCTTGTAAAATCTCGCGCTCTTCACCAATCTATCTCTCGCGCACCTCATCCACTGCGTGGAAAGATCTATGAATCTACCGTATGAACGTACCCTACCGGAAGGGTACTGTACCTAGAGTAGCACGAACCGATTCGTTGGATTGATCCGGCTGAGAGAATGGGCTTTGGCGAACGTCTTCTATGACCGTTCGATGACGGAGGAAAATGACCCGGTCCATCGACGACCGAACCGGTCAAGCAAAAGATATTTTTGGAATTGTGCTGGTGAGAATTCTCAACCGCCAAGACGATGATCCATCCTTCAATGCCTTCGAGGTCACTCCCTGCCGGTCTCGTCAACCCCAAACCTTTCCACGAATAAACTGCCACCAAACGCCGTTTTCCCCCCTTCAACAATAGACTCTTTGCAATACTGACATTAGAACAATGTCCGATACCGCTTCCACAACATCGGAAGGCGTCTGGCCACTCAGCTCCCACGAAAATGACGCCAAATCGAAGTACGGAGAAACCAACGAGCGAGACGTCGTTGGGTATGGAGCCAACCCCGTCAATCCGCACTGGCCAAAAGCCGCAAAGGTTGCCCTAAATTTCGTCATCAATTACGAAGAAGGGGGCGAGATGTGCACCCTCCACGGGGATGGAGCAAGCGAACACCTCTTGTCGGACAACGGGCCTAATACCCAGCCATACGGTAAGGATAGTTCGACTTGTTTGCGTTTTGCCATTCATGTCTTTTCTTTTTCCGGCTACTTGCCAAACTGTGAGCTTCACTTATGATTCCGTTTTTGAACGTTGGTGCTTGGATTTCATCATCGATTCTTTTTGCTGTAACCTGTTGCGAAAATTATGACCGTACCGAAACCAAACCATACGAATATGACAAATTCGATCTCAATACCGATTGACTACAATTGCGATCATGGATTCTAAATTAATGGGAAATGCCGAATGCGACAATATTGAAAACATGCATGAAACACAGCCGACCAGCGCCACCTGAACGTCGAAAGCATGTACGAATACGGATCCCGCTGTGGATTCTGGAGGCTCCATCGCTTGTTTACCAGCCGAAAGATTCCCGTTACGGTATGGGCGGTCGGCATGGCTCTCGAACGCAACATGGAAGTCGTCGGTGCCATCAAACAGCAGGAGGACTGGGAGGTTTCTAGCCACGGATACCGCTGGTGGGACTACAAAGACGTCGACGAAGCCCTCGAAAAGGAACACATCGAGCGGGCAGTGAAAATCCACAAGACCCTCTTCGGAAAACGTCCGGTCGGACTGTACCAGGGAAAACCCAGCACGAACACACGGCGCTTGGTCGTCGAGGAGGGAGGATTTTTGTACGATTCTGATGCCTACAACGATGACCTTCCCTATTGGAACTTTGACTACAGCAACGAGGAAGAGCCGCACTTGGTGATCCCCTACACGTTGGTCGAGAACGACATGCTCTTTACGGCTCCCAATGGCTGGTCTACGCCCGATGATTTTGTGAAGCATTTGAAGAGAACACTTGAGTGAGTGCCAAAATGAAAGAACAAACAATAATCTGGTTGTTCTTCTTCTTTGTTACGAGTTCGATTTGATGATCGATTCTTTCTGCGCTGTCTTCTCGTTGTTTTCTAAACTCATTCCTTGCGTTCTGTCTTTTGGCAACATTATGATCATTGTACCAACCCGTGCTCCCAAACAACTGAAACGCGCAGCTATTTGGTCATGGAGGGAAAACAGGGCCAGCCCAAGATGATGACGGTGGGCTTGCACTGCCGCCTGTCGCGACCCGCCCGCGTCGCAGCCCTGGCGGAGTTCGTCGACTACGCCAAATCGTATGGCAAGGACGTGTGGATCACCACCCGGGAGAGCATTGCGAACCACTGGTACGACAACCACCTTCCGAGAGGATGCGGGAACCCCATTCTGTCGGTCGGGGATAGAAGGGCCAAAAAGACCGCAAAGGCGTCGTCAAAGCGCTATTCGTTTTTGGGCAACCTCACGGTGCCACGGGATTCCGAAGAATACAGACAATCGCTTCAGGTGAAGAAGAGTGATTCGGAAGAAGTAGTCGATGTAATTTGAAAGGATGATCATTAGCAGAAACAACCTCAACAGAAAAAAACCTAAGAAAGGGATTGCGATAACATTTGAAAAATTGTAAAAAGAGTTACATACGTGAATTCGATCGACAAGATTTTCATCATGAGTGAATGTTTTCAATCTATTGGATCATTTGGTAGGATTGTTTTGATAATATGCGAAACCTTGTACTACGGCGCAAATGAAAGGTATCTTTCTGCTTCATATTCAACCGAAGTGAGTTCTATTTCTCCTTCGCCAACGATAGTGATATGCCAAATATGTGACTGATTCCAAACGGCCCCGAGCTTCAGTTTCATCCAGGCGCCCGAATCATGCTGACATCTCTCAATTCGCTTGCCATTCACACACCACGTCGCCCCGCAGTTTTCTGAACGTATAACTGACCCCTTGGGATTCCCGATCACTCCGCTACGATAATACTTATTGTCGACTTTCGCATGAAAATATTTATCGTGTTCACTGAAATAACAAAAACTGTTTCCCCTCTCTCCGATCACTACCTGTTCGACTTCACCAAGTGTAATTTCGTACGATATGATTTTCTTGCTGTGGCCATCCGACTTGACGAGAGCAGCTCCTCCACAGCATCCGATTTTGTTGCGACTGATTTTTTGGTATGGAGTATGACCATAATACACTTGGAACCTTGTGGGATATATACCGTGCATCATCCCATAAAATTTCAACATGCGATCGAAATGTTGATTTTGTTGTGGACCCAAATCAGGAGAGTCGATGGGACATTTGTCGGTCCCATTGGACTTGTTCCGGAGATAGTTTAACATTTGTTGAAACAGAAAATAGTCTTGGTCGAGTCTGTCGGGAGGTCATGGTCCCAATTTCCTCCAAACATGGTGGCCAGTTTGCTTCCTGGGACCGATGTAAGATTCCTACGGAACACGGTCGTTTTCGTGCCCCCGATGTTGAGGGAAACGACATCGTTTGGATGTGGTGCTTGATTGGTGTTTGCTGACATGTTTCTGTTTTCGAATGCATTTTCTGAGCGAAGGAAGCAATGAATCGTACGACCGAGCAATCGTCCCGGTTTGCTCACACCATCTATCGCTGTTTGCTGCTGAGTTGCATAAACTGAAGGGGTCTTCTATTCTTGGCAAACCCAGATTCACCGTCCAGGATCTTCGCAAATGGTTATCCTGCTTGCACCCAGGACCGGGACGTCATGACATGCACGGTATGCTTCTGTCGTATTACGACCGAGTTCGACGGAGCGCATGGGCATGTTGTTCCGTACGAAGGTTCCACTAAAAACCTGAAAAAAACGTTTTTTAATCTTTTGGGTGGAGGAATGTGAATGCACAATATCATCATTGAATACCTAGTACGCACGCTAGCGAGCAAGGTTTGTAGTGATGGCGATATCATCGGACAGAATTCGAAAAATTGTAGCTAGAGTGATGTGGTGAGTTCAAAGCAAAAGAGATTTCATCTTTAAATAAATACTTTTATAAGTGGAACATAAATATGCTGAACTTTACGGTATGACGGATTGCAAAACGAAATAAACAAGTTACGCGGTTTCAGATTGTTTTGTTGAATTCTACCGAAGTAACCTCTACTTCTCCATAGCCCGTAATGGTAAAGCTAGGTTCACATTCTGTTACATTTGTTTTGCTGTGGCAAGACCAAACTTGCCTTCCGTTCACATACCACACAGTCCCTGAGTTTTCTGAACGTATAACCGACCCCTTCATTGATCCACCTTGAAGATATTGACAATTGCCGTTAATAGAAAAAAATTTATTCCCAGCAACGTATTCAAATATAGAGTTTCCATGTTGTATCCTTATACTATACGACCTGACAACTTCACACAGTCTTAATTCGCACGACTCAATTTTTCTACTGTGGCCATCCGGTACGACGCGAACACGTCCATCGCTCAATATTTTGAATCTTTTTGGTAAAACTGGACGATTGTTAAACCCTTCGAATTTGAAGGGAAACATACTGGGAGCTAGCCCATAATGTTCCACCATGCGATAAAATTTTCGTTTTGGTCCGGCCCCAAATCGGGCGGCTTGATGGGGTATTTGTCGGTCCCATTGTTCTTGTTCCGGAAATAGTTGAGCATGTGTTGGAACAGAAAACCGTCTTGGTCGATGAAGACGTTTCCTTTCCTGTCTCTCTTCAAACTGCATAGAGATCCTCCAAACATCAAGGCCAACTTACTCCCGGGAACGGACGTCAGGGTACTCCGGGAGGCGCTCATTCTTGTACCTCCAACGTTGAGTTCAATGACATCGTCTTGTTGTGGTGTATAGGGGGACATCACACTTCTGCTTCGAATGCGGCGTTTAAACGAATGTGTCACAAAACAGCCTTCCTGGTTTCTTTCCACCAGTGGTTGTGATTGTTGCTGAGTGTCTAAATGAATGGATCGATCCGTATGTTGGCGTTCTGGTCCATTTTCGGCAAACAATCCCGACTTTATTTGTCGTGGACAACGTGCCTCGCCAACTATTTGGATCTTCATGTGCAAAGCGCACCTCGCAAACTATTTGGATCTTCTTCGGACGCATGTGTCAGAATACCAACGTTGTGTTCTGACACCTGCGTCCTGGGTTCGACCGAGTTCGATAGAGTTGTATGGGAATGTTGTACGGTAGGGTGAGGTTCCCGCTTAAAACCTGAAAAAAGAACGAAGGTGTTCTTCCATAGCGGTGATGGACAATACGTATGTTCGAACTGTATTTATTATGCATACGAGTACTACGTACAACACGAGTACAAGTATTACGAAGTTCTATTGTACTGGTACGTACGGTACGTAGGATAGAATACTGTACTGTAAACGGATTTTTTCGAACCAGAAGCGTTGTGCGCAGAGGTGTTTCCAGTTCAGTTGGACCGAAATGCTGTACCTGTGAGGATATAGCTGGATCACGAGTAGCTAGTGAGTAACCTCACTCTTTATTGTAAACCACGTATTATCATGCAGTAAGGAGCCTATCACTATTTCACAGGTTATGAGCAACAAACGGCTTACTTTGCTTCATACCTCCATCATCGACGACAAAGCCATTGAATGAGTAGTTTGGTTTACTCCTCTTCCTGCTGCCACGGAGCCTCTAACTCGCCTCGGCGATAGATTTTTCGCAGTGCATGCAAGGAGTTTTTGAATATTTCGTAGAAAAATATCTTCGACACCAGTACTAAACCACGTAGAATCCTACGGTATCTTTGCTGTCACCAATTCCGAACACTAAAGTGACACCAGAAGACTCCGCAGCTCCTGGTGCTGCTATATCATGGATGCTATAGTACCGCTATTGATTACAATCAAACCAGATTGCACAAGTCGATATCCCACCATGGCAACCTCCCCATCCAAACGCAAACCTCGTAAATCCAACAGTGGTGAATTCCGTAAAACCGCAGCTCAACATGGATATGATACTCTATCGACTGCTGCTGATGCTTCCTCCCAAAACGGTCTCGCCGAACGACCACACCGAACCTTGAAAGAACGCATCAGGTGTCTCCTTTATGCAGCTGGACTAGGAACTGAATACTGGGCTGATGCTCTTCTTCATGCCACGTGGCTCTACAACCGTACTTATCACACTGCTATTGATATGACCCCGTTTCAAATGTATACTGGACAGATCCCACTCATAGACAATCTAATCACTTTTGGATCTACTAAAATTACTGCCAAACGCCCTGGCACTCGGCCTACAACCACACATCCATGGACATATGATGGTATCTTCCTTGGCTATGGCAAAACCATGGATAATATAAAATACTTTGATATACATACTGGCACGGACAAAATTGCCCGCCATGATTCAAAGGATGAGCTTCAATATGGAGATGCCCCTACAAACAGATCACCGGCTGGGGCTCATCTTCTCGAAATGTTTACAGAGGGCTCCAATGCAGCTCATACTACTAACCGATCCCCTGATAAAGTTGAACTGTCTTTCAAGGATCCTCGCCAACTCAACCCTGAAACACTGGTACAAGATCTAATCCGTGATTCTCCTACGAGTTATACGGCCACTTCGGCTGCAAAGGTCACTGCCGCTATTCATCGTGCCAAATTCCAGCGTCCAGATATTGCTGCACTCATCCCTGAACTAGAAACGCTAGACGTCTCGACTAACATGTTCCTCAAAGAAACATCTCACACACTTCCCCTTACTTCTGCTTCCAGTATTCATCCAACCATGGGATTTATTGTCACTAGTCATCCAGACCTTAAAAATGCTATGGAACTCACTGCAATCCAGGTTGGCTCCATCGCACACACTCGAATCCGTGGCTGGAAACGTCGTCTCCGTGGTACTATCATCACAACAGTTGATGATAAACCAATTACCACTGTGACTGATATAACTAATGCTATCAAACATGCTCGAAACACCCATCGGAAGACTATTAAGTTCACCTTTGGCTCGCTCACAGGCTTTGCTCTTAGTGGTGAGGGAGTACCAACACTACAGGCTGATCAACTCAATGTAATTGCTCACCATCTCCACGCCCTCAACCATCACCAAGACCTATGGACTAATAAACACCACTGGCCACCTCCTATTGATTCCCCGGATTCTCTAACGGAGCAACTTTGTGTCTCAAAACTCACTAGAAATAAACTTCTTAGCACAGACAAGTGGCCGGGCTTCTTACAATCGGAATGGAAACAACTTAATCGCTATCACCGTGTCGGCATGTTTGGTGATCCAGTGGATGCGACACCATCCATGACTGTTCTTCCATGGGTCTGGACATACTTAGAAAAAGAGAACCCACTCACTGGAGTAGATGAACCTAAGGCTAGAGGGACCTGTAATGGTGGCAAACGGTATGGTCATGCAGTTACCCTTGCTGAGACTTATGCAGCTTGTGTTGAACAGCCAATTCATCGCTTAACATGGGCAATTGCAGCTGCTTTGAACCTTATATGTGTCGGCTATGATGTTGGTAATGCCTTTGCAGAAGCCCCTCCTCTGCAAAGCCCTTTCTACATGCAGGTGGATGACCAGTTTCATCAATGGTGGACGGAATGCCTCCAGAGAGACCCTATTAAGCCCGGACAAGTTATCCCCATTCAAAAGGCTTTACAGGGTCACCCGGAGGCTCCCCGTCTCTGGGACAAATACATCTCCAAGATGCTGACTGAGGAACTTGGATTCAAATCAACTACACATGAACCTTGTCTATACTTTAAACATGATCATAGCGGACTGACTCTCATACTGCGGCAGGTAGATGACTTCCTTATTGCCAATGCTGATGTTAATATATGCAACAACATTCGTCAACAAATACAGGACAGAATGACTAACCCTCTTAACATCCTGGGCACAATTCAAAAGTTCAATGGGATCCATGTCAACCAGACCAAATACTACAACCATCTTCACTGTGCTAAGTATATTGAGAAAATAGCAGAACACCATGGATGGACCCACAAATACCACTGTAAACGCCCCACACCACTCAGGGAGGATTCCCAGTACCAAAAACGACTACAGTTGGATCAGGGCCCATCTAGTGACACAATTGAGGCCCTTAAACTTGAGCAATCTATGGGATTCAGTTACAGACAATGTATTGGGGAACTAATATATGCCCTCACTATATGTCGGATAGACATCTCCATTGCAGTTATCATGTTGAGTCAACACTCTCATTGCCCTGCTAAGATACACTATGAGGCTGTTAAACACCTCTTTGTATACCTCCTAGCAACTAAATATGAAGGGCTCACATACTGGCGTCCCGCACCACAGGACGACCTACCAGACCGACCCCTTCCCACTCCTGTCTCCCCTTTGTCTAACCTTGATAAGTACTACCGCTGTAACGGAGCATGTGATACAACATGGGCATCCGATCGCCTCCAAAGGAAATCTATGGGAGGGATCATCATGATGCTTGCAGGAGCTGCAGTATACTACAGAACTCGGCTTCAACCTACGATCGCTCAAAGCTCTACGGAAGCAGAGTTCACCAATATGGCAGATGCTTGTAAAGCCGCACTGTATCTCCGTTGGATTCTGGAGGAATTACAACTAAACCAAACTGAATCTACTCCCATATTAGCAGACAATCATGGGGCTGTTAGGATGGCTAATGCCCATCAGCCTACACGATGAACCAGACATGTTGAAATGAAACACTTTGTTATCATTCAATGGACTGATGATGAACTTCTTCATTACAAGGAGACAAAATCAGAAGCAAATTACAGTGACTCTCTGAGCAAACCCACTGGTCGCACAAAGTTCTATGAACACTCGGATGTCTTCATGGGATGTATGCGACCCCCTTATGTATCCATTTCACCGTCAACCACCTCATCTATGTCTGTTGATAGTGCTAATGGCACTAATATCAACAGAATAACACTGCTTTCCACTCGCACGAATCTGAATCCTCTTATAGATTTACTATATCATGAGCATTCACTTGACTCATGTGACTCTATATTATCCGACTCATACGAGTCTTCAGATTGTGCGAGTGCGGGGTGGTGTGAGGATATAGCTGGATCACGAGTAGCTAGTGAGTAACCTCACTCTTTATTGTAAACCACGTATTATCATGCAGTAAGGAGCCTATCACTATTTCACAGGTTATGAGCAACAAACGGCTTACTTTGCTTCATACCTCCATCATCGACGACAAAGCCATTGAATGAGTAGTTTGGTTTACTCCTCTTCCTGCTGCCACGGAGCCTCTAACTCGCCTCGGCGATAGATTTTTCGCAGTGCATGCAAGGAGTTTTTGAATATTTCGTAGAAAAATATCTTCGACACCAGTACTAAACCACGTAGAATCCTACGGTATCTTTGCTGTCACCAATTCCGAACACTAAAGTGACACCAGAAGACTCCGCAGCTCCTGGTGCTGCTATATCATGGATGCTATAGTACCGCTATTGATTACAATCAAACCAGATTGCACAAGTCGATATCCCACCATGGCAACCTCCCCATCCAAACGCAAACCTCGTAAATCCAACAGTGGTGAATTCCGTAAAACCGCAGCTCAACATGGATATGATACTCTATCGACTGCTGCTGATGCTTCCTCCCAAAACGGTCTCGCCGAACGACCACACCGAACCTTGAAAGAACGCATCAGGTGTCTCCTTTATGCAGCTGGACTAGGAACTGAATACTGGGCTGATGCTCTTCTTCATGCCACGTGGCTCTACAACCGTACTTATCACACTGCTATTGATATGACCCCGTTTCAAATGTATACTGGACAGATCCCACTCATAGACAATCTAATCACTTTTGGATCTACTAAAATTACTGCCAAACGCCCTGGCACTCGGCCTACAACCACACATCCATGGACATATGATGGTATCTTCCTTGGCTATGGCAAAACCATGGATAATATAAAATACTTTGATATACATACTGGCACGGACAAAATTGCCCGCCATGATTCAAAGGATGAGCTTCAATATGGAGATGCCCCTACAAACAGATCACCGGCTGGGGCTCATCTTCTCGAAATGTTTACAGAGGGCTCCAATGCAGCTCATACTACTAACCGATCCCCTGATAAAGTTGAACTGTCTTTCAAGGATCCTCGCCAACTCAACCCTGAAACACTGGTACAAGATCTAATCCGTGATTCTCCTACGAGTTATACGGCCACTTCGGCTGCAAAGGTCACTGCCGCTATTCATCGTGCCAAATTCCAGCGTCCAGATATTGCTGCACTCATCCCTGAACTAGAAACGCTAGACGTCTCGACTAACATGTTCCTCAAAGAAACATCTCACACACTTCCCCTTACTTCTGCTTCCAGTATTCATCCAACCATGGGATTTATTGTCACTAGTCATCCAGACCTTAAAAATGCTATGGAACTCACTGCAATCCAGGTTGGCTCCATCGCACACACTCGAATCCGTGGCTGGAAACGTCGTCTCCGTGGTACTATCATCACAACAGTTGATGATAAACCAATTACCACTGTGACTGATATAACTAATGCTATCAAACATGCTCGAAACACCCATCGGAAGACTATTAAGTTCACCTTTGGCTCGCTCACAGGCTTTGCTCTTAGTGGTGAGGGAGTACCAACACTACAGGCTGATCAACTCAATGTAATTGCTCACCATCTCCACGCCCTCAACCATCACCAAGACCTATGGACTAATAAACACCACTGGCCACCTCCTATTGATTCCCCGGATTCTCTAACGGAGCAACTTTGTGTCTCAAAACTCACTAGAAATAAACTTCTTAGCACAGACAAGTGGCCGGGCTTCTTACAATCGGAATGGAAACAACTTAATCGCTATCACCGTGTCGGCATGTTTGGTGATCCAGTGGATGCGACACCATCCATGACTGTTCTTCCATGGGTCTGGACATACTTAGAAAAAGAGAACCCACTCACTGGAGTAGATGAACCTAAGGCTAGAGGGACCTGTAATGGTGGCAAACGGTATGGTCATGCAGTTACCCTTGCTGAGACTTATGCAGCTTGTGTTGAACAGCCAATTCATCGCTTAACATGGGCAATTGCAGCTGCTTTGAACCTTATATGTGTCGGCTATGATGTTGGTAATGCCTTTGCAGAAGCCCCTCCTCTGCAAAGCCCTTTCTACATGCAGGTGGATGACCAGTTTCATCAATGGTGGACGGAATGCCTCCAGAGAGACCCTATTAAGCCCGGACAAGTTATCCCCATTCAAAAGGCTTTACAGGGTCACCCGGAGGCTCCCCGTCTCTGGGACAAATACATCTCCAAGATGCTGACTGAGGAACTTGGATTCAAATCAACTACACATGAACCTTGTCTATACTTTAAACATGATCATAGCGGACTGACTCTCATACTGCGGCAGGTAGATGACTTCCTTATTGCCAATGCTGATGTTAATATATGCAACAACATTCGTCAACAAATACAGGACAGAATGACTAACCCTCTTAACATCCTGGGCACAATTCAAAAGTTCAATGGGATCCATGTCAACCAGACCAAATACTACAACCATCTTCACTGTGCTAAGTATATTGAGAAAATAGCAGAACACCATGGATGGACCCACAAATACCACTGTAAACGCCCCACACCACTCAGGGAGGATTCCCAGTACCAAAAACGACTACAGTTGGATCAGGGCCCATCTAGTGACACAATTGAGGCCCTTAAACTTGAGCAATCTATGGGATTCAGTTACAGACAATGTATTGGGGAACTAATATATGCCCTCACTATATGTCGGATAGACATCTCCATTGCAGTTATCATGTTGAGTCAACACTCTCATTGCCCTGCTAAGATACACTATGAGGCTGTTAAACACCTCTTTGTATACCTCCTAGCAACTAAATATGAAGGGCTCACATACTGGCGTCCCGCACCACAGGACGACCTACCAGACCGACCCCTTCCCACTCCTGTCTCCCCTTTGTCTAACCTTGATAAGTACTACCGCTGTAACGGAGCATGTGATACAACATGGGCATCCGATCGCCTCCAAAGGAAATCTATGGGAGGGATCATCATGATGCTTGCAGGAGCTGCAGTATACTACAGAACTCGGCTTCAACCTACGATCGCTCAAAGCTCTACGGAAGCAGAGTTCACCAATATGGCAGATGCTTGTAAAGCCGCACTGTATCTCCGTTGGATTCTGGAGGAATTACAACTAAACCAAACTGAATCTACTCCCATATTAGCAGACAATCATGGGGCTGTTAGGATGGCTAATGCCCATCAGCCTACACGATGAACCAGACATGTTGAAATGAAACACTTTGTTATCATTCAATGGACTGATGATGAACTTCTTCATTACAAGGAGACAAAATCAGAAGCAAATTACAGTGACTCTCTGAGCAAACCCACTGGTCGCACAAAGTTCTATGAACACTCGGATGTCTTCATGGGATGTATGCGACCCCCTTATGTATCCATTTCACCGTCAACCACCTCATCTATGTCTGTTGATAGTGCTAATGGCACTAATATCAACAGAATAACACTGCTTTCCACTCGCACGAATCTGAATCCTCTTATAGATTTACTATATCATGAGCATTCACTTGACTCATGTGACTCTATATTATCCGACTCATACGAGTCTTCAGATTGTGCGAGTGCGGGGTGGTGTGAGGATATAGCTGGATCACGAGTAGCTAGTGAGTAACCTCACTCTTTATTGTAAACCACGTATTATCATGCAGTAAGGAGCCTATCACTATTTCACAGTACCGTTGGTATCTTACGGCACGAACTGAGGTACGCGAACGTTTCGGAACTTGGAACATACTGTGTAGAGTGTAGTCTACTACGTACTCGTACAACGGCAACGGCAAGAAAGTGGGAGACGGAAAAAGAGTGAGTCACAGCTAGCTGCTCGTATCATGATGTCGATAGAAGAGTTTTCCTCCCCCCCAATTTCGGCACACCCAGGGATAGTGACACAAGAATCAGTGACAAACAGTCTGTTTGAAAATAATGTTGAAAAATATTGTTCTTGTAAAATAACCTGTAAACTGTTGGAGACAGGAAGCAGAATCATAGCCGCGCACATTACCATTGTGGTCTTTAGTATTGTGTTTAAGCTTGTAATATCGTCGCTAGAGCACTGTTTAAGCTAGTGGCCTTGAAACAAGAGCGAGAAGGAGGGGAACCCAACAGAAGAAGCAGCAGAAGAAGAAGCAGCAGCAGCAGCAACAACAACAACAACAACAGCAACAACAACAAAGACAAAGACAACAACAACCATCCAACCAAGCGATAACTAAGCGTCAAGCCAGACGACCAGCATGAAAAGAGCGGTGGCAACATCCCTCCCATCGGCAGTTCGACGCAGCCACCGCCATCGCAGTGATGTAGTGCTCCCATGGTTTGTCCGCCAGCAGCAAAGCTACCAGCGGTCCTTTGATTCGAACCACCATTGGCGGTCGTTTTCGAGCCGAAGCAGCGATGGCGTCCGCGATGGAATAGGCAAGAGAAACACCCACACCCGCAGCAGCAAAAGAAACTACCAGCAGCAACAGCCTAGAAAGAAACAGCACCACTCGAGGAGGGGGAAAGAAGAACAACGCCGGAAGCATTCGAATTCGAAGCGCAAAAATCCCAAACCAGATACCCCCATCTTTGAAACCATCCACCAGGCCCAGGACGCGATTCAGGAGCTCCTGGACCGGCTTGTCCGAATCAACGAAAAGGCTGGAGCCGCCCACAAGATCGATCCGATCACGGTGGAAGCGCTGGCCGCGCGGGGTCCTTTGCCGTGGGACAGCCACCACCACGACGCGGCCAACACCGGGGACGGGATCTGGGGAGAGCGGGCTTTGGTCTACCAGAAAACGCAAGATTTTCTGGCGGTCCTGGCCCGATCGGTGAAGGAGCGCCGCCTGTCTCCCTCGCGGAAGCACGGAAAGGAACTGTCCCAGCTGGTCGAGTGCGTCCTGTACGTTTGTGGCCAGCAGGATCCGCGCTGCCGGGATGGGGACCACGGAGGCGGCGGCGAGGCCGCAGACCCCTCCGAGCTCGTGGCCTCCGCCCTGGGCGTCCTGGAGGTCGACTGGAACCTGGACGTCGGCCACCGGCACTACGAGCGGGCCATTGCCGCACTGTGCAACGCGGGAAACTGGGAATTGGCCGCGCAGCTCTTCGAAAAGCAGATCGATCCCAACGCCGGTGGACCCCCCGTCGGGGTGTCGATCGAAAACCCGCTGGGCCTATACGCGGTAGCCATGCGGTGCCGGGCCGGGGAGGGTCGGGAAGCAGAGCAGAGCATGGTGGCGGAACACGTCATGGACGCTGTCCAGCGGCTCTCGATGGTTTCCCCCTCGGACCAGGCCGGTTACGTGCTGGCGGCCGGAACCGCCCTCGGCTTTGCCCACGGCTCGGGGGAGCTCGTGGACTACCAGAGGTCCACGGTGCTGAACCTCGGGAGGCCCTTGGTGGCGGCTTGCCTCCGGGCCTGCTGCCTGGAGGGGGACTACCGGGCCGGCCTCGCGATCCTCGCGGACGAGGGGATCCTGGTGGCCCCCGGATCCAGCCACCCCGAAGAAGAGTGGCAGTGGGGCGGAGCCCGGGACCGCATGGATCCCCTCTGCCGCGATCTGGCGATTCAGGTCCTTGGTGGCGCCGCGGAAGGGGGGACGGATGACCAATTCGGTGAAGGGGGCCCACCGGACGAGCATCCTTGGCACGGCTCCCGCCTGGCACTGGAGCTCTTTCGGCAGAGCCGTGAGGAAGGCGTCACTATTAGCAGGGAGGCCCTGGTGGGCGTGGCCCAAGCCTGCGAGCGGGACCAGAACTGGAGGGGCGCCTTCTCTGTTCTGAGGACCGTTTTGGACGAAGAAGAGGCGGCGCATGCCGCCAAGAGCAGGAGCCCAGACAGCAACAACCAAGAAAGCCATCCGGCACCGTGGCTGGTTCCGGGATCCTGGTTAAAGATTACCGAGCGGGACCAGCTTGCCGATTCTTCCATCGAACCCAGCCACCTCCCGTCTCTGGGGTCGTTTTTGGCATCCGTCATGAGAAACTGCAACCGGTCGTCGAATTTTGGAATGGCCCTCTTTGCGCTCGAATTGTTTCGGATCCAGCTCCTCCAATCCAACGTCGGGGCCAGCGCAGAACCGAGTACCGGCAAGAAGGCTGCCAGCGACACCAAGGGCAACGATTCCTTGTCACCGGAAGAAGGAATTCGGCACGTGCTCTTCGAACTGAGTAGGGCGAATCCGAACGGGAACGACGCGGAACACGAGATCATGATCGCTGGCATGGTTGCGCTCTGTGGCCTTCGTTGCCACAAACACGCGATGCAGCTCTACGAAACGACCACAGAAGAGTGGCTGTCCGGTTCGGAAGGCGACCGCGAGGAGAATGCTTCCGCTGCTGCGGTCTACGGCTACGCTTCGATGCACCAGGAACGGAGCGGTACGCCCACGGCGGAATTGGTTCCCTGGGGCGCCGCCCAGAACCACCTGGACCAGCTCTTGGCAGCGGCCGGGCTCGTCAAAACAATCCGCCGCGATGCCGGTGACAGCGGTGGCCTTGTTGTGGGGCAGCGCCGCCAGCAGATGGAAGAAATCCTGGCGCGGGCCATGAATTCCTGTACTGCTGGACACCAACCGGAGCTCTCCCTGTACCTGCTCGAATGGATGGAGGAATGCGTCTTTTCGGAGCCGCCGCAGCAGCATCAAGCGTTCTTGTACCCGATGGGCGCCGAGACGGATCTGTTTGATAGAGTCGGATCTTATCAGGATTCCGTGACGGCGGAAGCCATTGTTGCGCGACGATATACCCGTGAGTATGATGCGGCGATCGAGCTGTTCGAGGCAACCCTCGAAAAACACACCGACGACGATTTGAGCCGGTGGGGGAAAACGGTTTCGGCCGGCTTGGCGGCAATGGTGGCCGGCGGAAGGGGGGACGATGCGCTGCAAGTGTTCGGTGCCCTGGATGTGGGCGTGAGGAGCAACGAGTGCTACAACACCGTAGGGCGCTACCTGTCGCGGGTGAAGGACTGGCAGCAGCTCATCGATCTCTACGGGGAGGCCACCGCGGAGGGATGTTCCTCCGAAGAACTCGCCATGCTAGCAATGCTGGCGGTAACCTCCACCCGGGTCGAAAACCGGCTCCGGGCCCTGCGGGCCATCGTGAACGATTGCGCCTCGATCGCCGGCGTCGATCCCAAGCAGTGGACGATGACCAACTACTGGTCCCTCAAGAAATCCCTGGGGTTCTATCACGCCCGCCTGCTGATGTGGTGGAACGACGAGGACAGGGCACCCCTCGACGAGGTGAACCTTGCTATCAAGGAATTCTACCGACAAAAATCGAAAGGGACGAAGCCCGAGAATGACGTGCTTCGGGCCATCGTCTCCGGAGCTGGCAGACACGACTCTCTGGGTCTGGACCACACAGATGGATACGAACAGGTACCCCGGTCGGAGGAGGCCTGGAGATTCCTGCTAAGTGACGTTCGCCGCTCCACGAGGGATTCCCCCATCCGCTACGACCCCACGTTCATCGATGCCCTGGTGGAGGCGTACAAGAGTCTCGGGAACAGCAAAGACTGCGTCAATTACGTCTCGGGGTTGCTCAACGCCGGGGGCACCCGACTGAGGCAAACAACCCTCGAGAACGCCATGGAGGCCGCGCGATTGGAACAGGCCGATGGCCTATACAACGATGTCCGGATGCTCCTCTCGGAGGGAACCGAGCACTCCTGAATCAATCCAATCGAGTCGAATGAAGTAAACATCGATCGGAAATCGGATAAATCCGCCCACTTCGGAAGGACATGTCGCACGATGATTCCGAGAACAAATGGTAAAGCAGCAGAGCGCATTTAAAACATCAGTATTGTTTCGCTGCATTCGATGAGTCGAATGCATGTATAGGAAGAAATTGTTTTAAAATGCTGATTCTATTTTTATGTACACGAACGACTATCCCATCATCTGTTTGACAAAGCAAACTTTTACTTCACTCTGATGTGTTTGTTATGCTACCTCTGCTTGTCGATGATTGATTCTTCGATTTTTCGTTTTTTTGTAAGATTGGTTTGGTCTTCAAACTAAGTTCAATCGTACTCCCATCGTTTTCCCCCATCCCCAATCCGACTCAGTTTTGAAATTGTATCTGTGCGGTTATTCCATATGAATCGAGCATTTACGAGTCCGATTGCAACGATACTACGCAGGTACCTGCACGACTACTGAACCATTCGTTCCACGACAAAATAGATCGTTAAGCTACCGTATAAACGGTACAGCAATCATCGGGGTCTGAAAAAGCTGTTCCATTAGACTTTGTTTCTGGTCAACTGCTTGCTTTATCCCGAACATCTTTCATGTCCATGATATGGGACGCCATTTGCATGGTGAGGGTCCGGGCATTCGTTCCCCAGTGGTCTTTCGCATCACCCGAGACGCGTTCAATCCCAAATGCGTGGTTTCCGTAAGTTAGCATCCCCCCAACGTCGGCAATGTCCATGTATTTGGGTTTCGTGGCATTAAACCAGCGGCGGGTTGCGGATATCAACTCGATGGTGTCGATTCCTTGGCTCTTCGCTTCGTCCGCGTGCGGTCCGTGGGTCTTCCAGATGACAAAGAGCGACGGCCCGGAAACTCTCTGGTGGAAGAAATCGAGAGCTTTCACCAGGCGATCGGTAGCCGCTGTCTCTCCATCCATACAATCTGGGGAAAAGTCCGATATTCCCATCGAAACGATTACGACGCTGTATTCTCTACGGATTGTTTTGGTGGCGTTCCGTAAAACGGGAAAGACGTCCTTGTAGCACAGTGCGTGGCTGAGATCGAACTTTCCGGTTTCGAACGGGATTGTTGCGTGATTGTTCGTGGTCGCGTTGGTGTCCCCGGATGCGGGAAAACAGTTTCCGTCGGTCCCCCTGACCTGTCCCATTTCAAAAAAATCTAGTCCCCCCCTGCAGGGGAAACTACGGAGGCACTGGGAAGGGGGTGGTTGGCGGCCGGGGCAGTGGAAGGGCATCGAAAAATTTCCAGTGTAAGGTGCTTCCTTGTTCTTGTTGATGAAATCGTTCAATTCCGTCTTGCCGACGTTGTTAGGGTTGTCCGCTGTGATCACGKAGTACATGGTTTGGTAGTCCTGGCGCGCGGTGGAATCTCCTATCCAAAGCGTGTTTTCTGATCGGAAGATGCGATGTATATCGCTCCCGGTGTAGTAGGGAACACCTCGAGGAGGGATCCAGGAAACGGCAACCCACCCGTAATCTGCTGCTTTGTATGACATGTAGGCGTACTCAAATTCGCGGTTCTGCTGCMGAGTGGTGTTGCCATCAGTCAATAGCAACTGCGGGACTAGGAGCTTCATATTGGAAACAGCCGATGACCATGCGTCCAAATTGGTCGTTTCTTGGTGTAGGAATATCAGGCTGGTTGCAACGAGCAAGAGAATGACGCCATGTTCCTTGTTGGTGGCCATTGTACTGATATCGTTATTGTGACGTTAGTGTGCAACTGCGATACAGTTTATAGTTCGTCCATCATGCAAAGTTCTACTGTATCGGGAGGCATACTGTACTGGTGCTTCAGTTCAAGAAGAAAATGTAGGTGTGCTCTTTAGTGCCGTATTTATTCACTATCTACTCGTGATTTGGGCTCACAACGAGTACCGTAAGGGTGGCCTGTTGGTAATGTGAGCCTAATACACGTAGAAAACTTAAATAAAGGTCGCGTTCACTGAGCATAAACCACGATTAGATAGTGTTGATTGATAGGCTCTTTAGTGTATGATTATACGTGTTTTACAAGAAAGAGTGAGCTTATTCAGGGTCACAGAGACCAAGCTCACTCTTTATTGTAAACACGTAATTATACGACACTAAAGAGCATATGTACATTTTGCAGGTCATGAGCAACATCAGGCTTACATCAGCTATTCGTGCTTTAGGCTCACAACAAGAAGTAATTTTTGTGAGACATGAACCACCACCAAATCACGAATAGATAGTGAATAACCAATAACCTCACTTTTTATTGTAAACCTCGTATTCACGTACCGGTACACTAAGGAGCCTAATAGAATTTCACAATTTTGACCCTGAATTTTGGCCACAAAATATTCGTCTACAGTACAGTGTCGTAGCAGAAATACACAATCTAGCATATGATATGCCCATTTTTTCTAACTCGCAATACCACTCTCTAGCCAAGCCTGACAGAACAGAAAAAAACAAGAAAAACTGACCAAAATAATACTACACAATAGCAGAGGCACCGCCCACAATCTTACAAGGGGAGAAAGAAAGCGTCCCACTATTTTTCTGTAGTTCCAAATAATTAGTACTCGTTGTGGTAACTCTCAATGTACTATCCCACAGTACGGTACCATTGAGGCTAATTCCTAATTGACCGAGTCACTCCGCTTGGTGAGCGCTGTTCGTAAATCCCTTATGATCGCGTCGTTGGAGGGAATGGGTTTCTTCCACACCATATCGGCCCCCGCATCAAAAAACTGCGTGCCAATGTCGTTTCCGGAGCACCCAACGATGACAGAGTCGATTCTCATCCTCCGCATCGCAAAGACAACGTCGGTTCCTACCATCACGCCACCAGCTTCTTCCATGAACTGATCCACTACCACGACGTCGAACTTTTCCCTCCCACAGATCAACAACGCGTCTTCTCCCGTTGCGGCTTCCTTGATGATGGCATTAGGGGCGATCGCTTTCTTTATCCGCCGCTTCATCATGCTGCGGTTCATTTTGATGTCGTCGATCACCAGCACCGAGATCGCCTCTTGGATGATTTCCGTGTTCTGCTTGGCTATGGTATCCGGTATCTTGCACAGCGGTAGGGCCATGAGAACAATGCAAGTCGTCCCGGCCTTTACGGCAGGATTGCTTATGAACCGGATGGACCCCCCTGTCAGGTCGACAATGTGCTTTGCAATGGCGAGTCCGAGCCCAGTGCCTGGAGCCCCGCCTCGCTGGACGAATCTCTGAAAGAGCCGTGCCTGCTCGCTGATTGGAATGCCGGGGCCCGTGTCTTCGCAGATGAATTTCAGGTTGTCCCCCTCCCATTCGAAGGAGATCTGTATGTGTCCTGATACCGTGTACTTTATCGCGTTGGATACAACATTAGTCAGTACTTGTTCGATGCGGTGAGCGTCCCCAAGGACCCAATCTTTCCCCTTGACATTGATGAGTTTTCGAAAATCGACCCCGGGCCGAACACTCGGCGACAGCATCTTGTGAACATTGCGTAGAATACTGCGGATCGATATCGGTGCGCGGCTAAGCCGCATTTTCCCCTCTTCCATCTTACGAACGTCCAGAAGGTTGTTCATGATGGACGCCATGAACCCCGTGCATAGTTGCATCCCAGAGACGAGGCTCTGTGCGGATTCTGGGAGGTTGTCGGGCATGGCTTCTAGAGCCGAATCGATAGCGCCGAGCGGGTTTCTCAGCTCGTGGGCAAAATACGCAGTCATGTTCCGTTCCGTTTCCACCTTCGCCTCCTGTGAAGCGCGCAGTGTTTGCATTTCACGAAGGGCCTTGGCCTGTTTTCTATCCTCCGTAACGTCCTGGGCAACGCCCACGACGCCAATCACATTGGCGTCCGGATCCCTCCTTGTTGTGGCATTTACCAATAGGAACACCGGTTCCCCGGATTTGGAGGTGACCTCTACCTCGTAGTTTGATGTTTCGTTTCCAGCAAGGGCGGCCTCTAGGATTTGCCATACCTTCTCCTTCTCGGACTCGGCAATAAAGTTTTCTACGAGGGGTATGCCAAAGGCCTTGGCCTTGGCAAACCCGGTGATGTTGGACATCCGGGTGTTCCATTCGTTGACGTTTCCGTGGACATCGATACCGAAAATAGGCGCATTGGCCGTTTCGATGAGCTGGCGGAGCTCGAGCGCCATGTTGGCGACGGCACGGTCCCGCTTGACGGCTTCGGTCACGTCCTGCGCAATCAGCACGACACCGACGACCGCGTTGTTCATGTCACACTGGGGGGTGATGTTTACCAGCAGGTGCCGTATTTCGTTGGCTTTCGTGCGGAACTCGAGCTCGTAGTTGGACGCCCCCTTTCCGTTGTTGAGTGCCTCTCTCAATATAGAACGGACAGAATCCTGGATATCGGGGAAAATGAACGTGTCTACAAGCGGACACCCAAAGGCATCTTCCTTTCTGTATCCAGTGATTTCGGCGGTCTTTTCGTTCCATTCGTTGACGTTGCTAAACAGTCATAGATGAAAGATAAAACATCAATGATAACGACAGAAATGTTAGAAACGAAACTCGTAAACAGGGAAACAAATGATGCTCCAGGTGCTTCTGCACGTACCCATTTTGATCGATTCCAAAGATCGKGGCGTTGGCGGTATCGATCAGCTTGCGCAGCTCGTTGGCCGTTGTCGTTATGGTACGGAAATTCGTGAAGCACTTGGTCGTATCCAGACCTAGAAAGACGGCACCAACGACCTTTTGTTCCTGGTTGTACCTTGKGGAGATACTGGCAACGAGGTGCTTGAGTTCGTGGTCTTCCTCTTGTTCTTGATTTTTCCCTTTGTGGTAGCTTTTGTCGGGTTCGCTGCCGTTGACCTGCAATCGCTTGCATGTAGTGCGATTCTTCATGGGGGACGATTGGTTCGGGATTTTGTGGCGGTGGATGACGCTCAGATGGCACAACGGTGTAGACCGTCCTTCATAGGCTTCGGACAAGAGGGGCCCTAGCATTTGGTTCAGTGGTGCCTGGCTACTGTTTGTGTTCTTCGTGTTCGATTGGGATGCGCGAAACAAGACGGAGGATATCCTGTCGTCTTTCAGTAGTGACAGCCCGATGGCGTCGTTTGTGTTGATGCCGGTGAGCTCTGCTGTTTTTTGGTTCCACTCGTTGATCGTTCCTGATCGATCCACCCCAAAAACGACGCAATCGAGGATGTCGAGCAAGCTGCTGATGTCGCTGTGGCGAAGGGCATCGGAACGAGTTCTCGTCGGCAGCGTCATGCGAGCCGTCCCCTCTGTGGATTTCGTTGCTGGTACAAGTGCCAAAGGTGATGATTCCGGGTTCTTCTGTTGGTAGAGAAGAGATGCTGGTAGGTGGTAAATGGGCTCGATTGGTTTCGGAACCAGCAAACGGTCCGGGTCGGATCCCGAGCAGTCCGTCTCCAGAGTGATCGAACTATCACGGGAAACCGTCCCTCTGCGGATTGCTGTGAACTTCTTACTGGAAGAACCATCGATTGTTGGTGTGCTGGTAGTGCACACCAAAACAACGCCGGTGACGATGGTTCCAACGTTGTCTTCGATGGTAGCATTACCAACATCGAATTGCGGCAGTAGATCGACGGAAAACAGCGGCTGTTCCCCGAAGGTTCTCGGCTTCGCCTTCGCATCCGACTTGAACCAGGGCCGCTTCGTTCCAGCGTTCACATTCGTATTCTTAGCCACGACAACGTTTACTGCAAGAATAGGTTCTCCCTTGCACAAAACTTGATCTACCAAATGCCCAAGTGTAGTGCCCGTAGACGTTAGCATCGGTGGTACAATACGGTAGGATGTTGGTGGAAAAAGTTGATCGAGGTCCGTTCCGAGAACGAAACAAGCTGCTCTGTGAATGCCCTTCGGTGAGAACCTCGCTGTGGAAGAGACAATCGCGGCAACTTCATTGTTCCACAGATTTATTCTTTTTCTCGCGTCCACCCCAAAGACTCCGACCCGGGGCAGTGGGCGTTTGTGACCGCACTTATTGCTTGGGAATTGACTGGGACTGCTCACGTTGTCGTCTGTAATTCTTGCATCGATCAAACAGTCGTTGTCACGATAATAGGGAAGCCGCCTCTTTCGATGGAGAGGGGCTGCAGCCGCTGTTCGGGGCGAATCTTTTATCACCCCGGTGACCATTCCATCTCTGTTCATTCCTGGTGGTGTAAGGTTGTGCTCGGGAGATCGAAACGAATTCTTTGTTATAGTGATTTTGTTTTGAAAGTTACAATCTAACGTTGTAGGTGGGTTTGATGTTGCCGTTGCAGCTGTAGGCTGTGTTTGTTCGATTTGAATACTCTGTTGAATGGAATTCACTGCTCGTTAACCTCTTGGTTGGTGATATATGGAGCTCTCGTGGAGCTCTTGTTTCCTTATGATTCGTTTCGTCTCGTTTCAACACTTCGGTGCGTTGCATACGGGCACCTCTGTTCGCCACTGTGGTGATTCTGAGACAACAACTTTAAAATGGGATCAGATGGAGGTTTTTGCTGTGCCTTAGGGGTCGTTGCACCAAAACGAAATTCGTGTTTCCCTGCAGTGTGACCTCCACCGGAGTCGAAAACACAGACCAGCATTTTTCTTCTGCGCGACGGAAGCGAAGAAGATCAACAATTTCGATGAGACGATCGACGATTTACTACAAGGCGCTTCCGGAGTTGAACTTCAAGGAAACCCAATTATTGGTTTTTCAATTATATTCAAGTTGGGAAAGTATTGCCCTATTTCGTGGTTCAAGAGAGTCAAAGTGCCGCCAATGGCTTTCCCTGACAACGGGAGTGGGAACGGAGTCATTATTTTCAGAAAACTACAGGCTCAACCCGTAGAATTCCTCGTACTTATCACTTTAGGACAATTCCTTGATGTCAACGTGAGCGAACTTGAAAGAGGTGTTTCCAATAGTACCGGAAACTCTGTTGTTTCAAAAAATGAGGACATATCAATCGATGGTATTTGTTTCCTCGGTACCATTTTATGTGCAAATGAAGTACAGTATTTCAGTATATGCCCAATAGCCGATGACGCTAACTTTCTCACCATACTACGGTACGGTGAGATTCTTCGAAGCACTTTACTGTACTACCGTACGGTAAAGTACTGTAACAGCAAAAGTTGATCTTGTTAAGTGCCGTCGCATTCAAATCACGACTATCAATAAGTGCGAGACTACAGTACTACTACGTACGTACGTACCATACGCTCCTGTATAACGCTCACGGATTTGATTTCGTACCAACGCGCTTGGAAAATACTACTAATAGTTTTCGCGCGGCCTGGGTTCCGAGCGCGAAGAGAGTCACTCATGATCTGCTCGTGACTCGCACGGAACGACGAGAGGGATGGCAGAGCCGTTTCTGGTTTACATCCCATGCGTCTTGATTGAGAGCAACTGAGAGCGGTCGATCGACAACAATCCACCATCCGAAGGGTTCCTGCATTTATCTTACCCGCCAACCACCGCCACGGGCCAAACAAGAAAGAAAAGTGACCATGGACCACTCCCTGTCGGACGGAAGCGGGGACGAGGACCTCCCCCTCTCCCATCCAGCCCGGATCGGGGAGTTCGGGAGCAAAAACGACAAGAACCGCGGGGGCTGGGGGGAGTCCATGGAGCTCGCCCACCAGCGGGAGGCCGGGAGGCGCGTCACCGCCGGTGCACCAGAGACCGTGGTGGCGGTCGACCTGAGCCAGTTTCGCAACACCGAGGTCGGGAGGGGGTACCAGGCGAGGCACGTCGTGCGGCAGCGATCGGCGGCGATCGAGACCACTAAAACCACCACCGTCAACGACAGGGTCCACCTTCCCCGGGCGAGAGACTCGGAACGGCCCGTCAAACAAGAGCCCCTGGACAAGGAAGACCTGCTCCGGAACGAAGGTCTACGGCTCTTTCGGAAAGAGATCGAGAGTATTTTGGCGTCGCCGTAAAACAAAAGAATTGAGATGGACCCGTCGTATCCACTTGTCTTCTCTGTATCTGACGAATTTAGCTACTACAGTACTACGTAAACATCACACTTTTTATTTCCAACGAAAGCACGCCAAAGTGCAACGGCCTAGTGTTGCATTGAATTGTAGTTGAATCTCGTCAAAAATGAACGTGTCGCACTAGTAGAATACACAACTATCGAATGAAGAGGAAAATGAAAAGGAAAACAATCTCCCGTCTAGGCCGCGGCGCGTGGGACACAACAAGTTGTCCTGTTTCGGTTGCATCTTGCGTTCCCCCGCCCTAGAAGCCCCCCATGTCCGGGAGGATGTCGGTCCCCAGGGCCGGAAACTCGAGCGTCTTTCCGCTGTCGAACCGGACCCGGACCTTGGCGTCCTCGATCCTGGAAAAGGGTGGGGGCTCCAGGACGGTGCCCTTTCCGAGGCTCACGTGGACCACCTTGATGCCGACGGGGAAGAACCACGTCGGATCGATGCCGGTGTCGTCGCGGTTGCCACTGCGCACGCTTCTGCTCGGGGGCCCGGGCGGAGCGGCCCCCGCCCGTGGCTTCCTCGCTGCCGTCTTTCGGGTGGGAGTCGGCCGTGATGCCTTCGGCGGGGCCTTGCGCGGGAGGGGGGACGGCCCCAGCGTCGACCTCAGGGCCTCGACCCGGTCGGCACTCGGTCGGTCGTAGGGGGGCTCCCCGGGCCTTGCGGGCCGCGTCCCCCGGCCGGGGGCCGAGCGCGGCTGCCTCTGCTTCGGTGGGGGCGTTCCCCGGCCCGAGAAGGGGGCCTTTCTCCCCCCCGCCGATGAGGGCCCCCCCAGCCCGGTCCGGTTGATCCTTCCGTAGCGGCCGGAGGGGCCGCGGGCACCGCCGGTGCCCCTGCCCGCCTTTGCCTTGCCCCGGGCCCTGGATTTCTTGGAAACGATGGCGTCCAGGAAGCGGCTCCGCTTCTTGGTTTTGGTCTTGGAGCCCGAATTGGACCAGTTGAAAAAGCCCGTGACCTCCTTCCGCCAGGTCAGGACGAGTCTCGTCTTGGCCCGGGTCATGGCCACGTAGCACAGGCGTTTTTCTTCCTCCAGCTGGACGGACCCGTCCCCCTCCTGGAGGGCGGGGTTGCACGGGAGGGTCCCCTCCTCGAGGCCGACGACAAAGACGCAGTCGAACTCGGTTCCCTTGGAGGCGTGGATCGTCATCAGGTTGACGACCAGCTTGTCGTCCTCGGTCTCGCTGGCCTCGGCGGTGTCGCTGACCAGGGCGACGTCGTCCAGAAAGGTCGACAGGCCCGACCCGTCGCCGAGGACCTCGTCGTCGTCGTCGTCGTCGCCATTGGCACCGGTGGGCTCGCCGCTGCCCAGGGCCGGCCCGTAGGACGCGTATTTTTTGGCCGCGTTCCGGAGCTCCTGGACGTTTTCCTTGCGCTCCAGGAACTCAAAGCTCGACTTGGAAATCGCGTCAAAGTGGTCGATCAGGCCGAGTTCCTCGATGACAAAGAGGAGGAGCTCGCCGACGTCCTTGGTCCGGGCCGCCGCCCGGATCTCCCTCATCTGGGCGGAAAACCGGACAAAGCTGTTCATGGCGCGCTTCGAGACGTGGTCCGAAGCCATCGGTGTTCCGTCCGGGAGATCGATGTCCTCCCTTGTGGCGTTCCTCCCGCCGTTGGTCATGGAGACCAGGAGGTCCAGGTAGGTCGGCTTGTCCTCGCCCGGGTGGTGCTGCCGAAAGTAGGATTCCACCAGTCCGCAGTACTCCTTAAACTCCCCGAATCCCTTCTCTCCGATGCCCTTGCTGGGAGTCTTCATGGCCCGGACCATGGAACCCTCGTCGTTCCCGTTGTGGAGCCACCGCAGGAAGCAGAGGCAGTCCCTGATCTCGGCCCGCTTGTAAAAGCCCCCGGCCCCGCCGCGGATCACGTAGGGGAGATTCTTCTGGACGCAGGCCTCCTCGAGGTACCGCGACTGGGCGTTGGTCCGGTAGATGACGGCCACGGTGTCTCCGCTGCGCACGTCCCCGGCCTCGGTCATGTTGAGGATGGTGTCGACCACAAAGGTGGACTCTCCGCGCTCGTCCTCGCAGGCCACCACCCGGGGGGTCGGACCGGCCCCGCGCTTGGGCTTCATGGCCCTCCGGAGTTCGTCGGTGGGGCTGCCTTCCTTCGCTGTGCTTTCGCCCTCCTCCTCGTCGATGCCGGCCTCCGCGAGGGCCAGGGAGACGGCGCTCTTTGGTTTCGAGGGAATGCCCGAGGAAATGACCTTTTCGGCGGCCCGGACGATGTTGGAGGTCGACCGGTAGTTTTCCTTGAGAAAGACCGTCTTGACCACCCCGTAGGCCTGGAACTCGGTGGAGACCTCCTGGAGGCTTCCTACGTGGGCCCCCCGCCAGGAGTAGATCGACTGGTCGGCGTCGCCGACCACAAAGAGGCTGGAGGAGGTGAGGAGCTTGATGAGGTCCATCTGGACCCTGCTTGTGTCCTGGTACTCGTCGACCAGGACGTGGGGCCACCGCCGGTGCAGGCGGGTCCGGAGGTCCTCGTGTTCCATGAGGAGCTCCCTGGTGAGGAGGATGAGGTCGTCAAAGTCCAGGACGTTGTTCGAGAGGAGTTTTTCCCGGTAGGGAAAGTAGACCTTGCGGGCCATCCGCATGGCCGGCCCGGCCTTTCCCGGGCCGCCCTCCTCTTTGCTCCCGTCGGCAAGGGGGTTCCCGCCCTGCGCAAATATTTCCTTCATCTTGCCGATGGAGGAGATGATCTGGATGGGTTTCAGCTCGGTGTTCTTGAGGTCGATTTTCCGTTCCTTGAGGCACTCGTTCAGGACCCGGACCTGCTCCCCTTGGTCGATGATCGCGTACTGGCCGTTGAGGCGGATTTCCGGATCCACCAGGACCATTTCCGGCCCCTCGGTGCCGTCGCCGCTATCGTCATCGCCATCGTCGGTTTCGGCGCTCCCGCCGCCCTGCGGGATCTTTTCCACCAGGACCGGCTTGGCCTTGGACATGTCCCGGAGCACCGACGGGAGGTCCCCCAGGAGTTCCCCATTGTACCGGAGGACCTTGGCGCAGATCGAGTGAAAGGTCCCCAGCTCCACCCGCTCGATGCCCCTGGGGCTCGAGGGTTCCCCGGCCCCCGCCCCCCCGCCAATGGGCCCCGCGGTTTCCTGCAAGATGCCCCCCTCCTCGGGGACCCAGTCGGCGGCCTCTCCGGACCCGGCCGCGTGGTGGTGCTCCTCCTGCTCGACCAGGAGCTTTTCGAGGCGCTCCCGCATCTCCCCCGCGGCCTTTCGCGTAAAGGTCACCGCCAGGATCTTTCCGGTGGGGTCCGTTTGGAGGAGGTGGGCGATCCGCGTCGTCAGGACCTTGGTCTTGCCGCTCCCGGGGCCGGCGATGACCCTGGTGACGACCGGCTCGTGGAACTCGGGATCGACCAGGGGCTGCGTCACTGCCTCGACCTGGGAGGGGTTCAGGCCCTCCAGCAGGACCGAGGCGGAAGCCGCGGAGAAACCGACCGGAGCCGCCCCCGGTCCCTCGTAGCGAAAGGCCTCCTCCATGGGGTCGAACCCGCTGTCAAAGGCGTCGTCAACCGCGTCGCCAAAGGCATCGCCGGGGCCAGCGCCACTCGAAAGGTCTAGCGGAACGGGGGCACCCGGCGGGGGCGGCCCCCTTGAGGCGAACCGTCGCCAGGGGTGGTGGCCGAAGGAGGGACTCCCGCTTCTGCTTCTGCTTGCGGTTCTCACCGGCAGGCCGTTTGCGGTCCACCAAAAGACCGCCGCACTTTTTCCGGGGACCCGCCGGCGAACGACCGAGGCCAGCATCGCCACCGCGAGCACCCTCCACCAGACCGGGGCCCTTTTCCGTGGGCGTGGACGTGGACGCGACCGGCGGCGGACGAGGTGGGCTTCCATCGGGGGGGAAGGAAACACCGATGCGCTGCCGGGGCCGGTCCGGGTCTCGCCGTCTCGTGTTCGCGGGTGGACTGGCCGGAGTTGGTCTTCTGTGTGGAAAATGGATCTGTGCAGCGTGGTTGGGACGAAGAGGCTCCGGACGGATTCGATCGATCCGTTCGTCGTTGTTTCGAACAACAGTGGGTTTGCTCCGTGTTTTGGTTGGAAGCCGAGACAGAAAAAAATGTTGTGCTACGATATGATATTCGTACGAACTCTACCTGGTACTTGCCTACGAGTAGGCTTGGCAGATGTTCGAAATCAATCGAGTCGAGTCGGTCGGTCGGTCTTTCCGTCTGTCTCTCGTAAAGCCGAAACCCATCCCAAAACCAAACCATTTTGTTCGTTTTTTTTCAAGCATCGTGATGGTTGATGGCCCAGGCGAGTCTGTAGTGCGTCCGCGTGCCGGGACCCAAACCGCGCGAATGGAGATCCAAAACCGCGCGGATGGACACGTGGATCTTGAAGGGAAATCAACCAAAAAACCTCGGGTGCGACACAATACAAAAGGAAGGAAACAGAATCTCGAATCTCGTACTATCTCACCAAAATCTCTTTTTCACATCGGATCGCGTTTTTTGACACGAGACAAAAAAGTTTTTTGTCTCGTCACCGGTTTTGGCCAACTCCCGATCAGAAGCAGAAGCAAAAGCAAAAGCAAAAGCACAACACAGGACACAAAACGGCTCGTTGTCTCTCCGACCGGCAACGAAACCCAGAGCAATCATTGCCATGCCGAAGCCAACACCAACGAACACGCGGGGAGGCATCAAGCGGCAGCGATGCCCGAGCGGCGGACCACGGACACCGGCCCTCCGCCTTTCCCCTTCGATCCTCCTCTTCCTTTCCGCGGTATGGCTGGCGGCGGCCTCCGCCGGGGCCAGGCGGGCGCCCTGGTCGCTGGCCCCGCTGCCGTCGTCGTCGTCGTCGTCGTCGTGGGGAAAGAACCGAGCCACGCCACTGGCGCTGAGCGCCCGCGGCGGGGGCGGTGACCGGACGGAACCAAGCGCATCCAAAACCAGCAGCAACCATTGCAACGAGGACGACGAAGAGGACGACGAGGAGCGGTACAGCCGGCAGGTCTACACGATGGGGGCGCGGGCGCACGGGCTGGTCCGGTCGTCCAGGGTGTACCTCGACGGGCCCGCCCGCTCGGGGCTCCTGTGGGAATCCGCCAAGAACCTGGCGCTCTCGGGGGTGGGGAGCCTCGTGGTGGTGGTGGACGACGAGAACGACAGCGACGATGCCCGCAACGATGCCAGCGCACCGTGCCCGCACTACCACGATCCGGCCCTCGACGACCTCGGGAGGACCTACCTCCGCGGGGCCCTGGCAGAGCTCGGGGACCTTGCGGCGGAGGACCCTTCCGCCGTCCTGGTCGGCTTTCTCCGGCGCCTCAACCCGGCACTGGCGGTGTCCACGATCTCCCGCAGGAAGCTGCTCTCCGGCGAGGACGAACACGAAGAGGAAGAACGAGGAGAAGGGGTCCTCCTGTGCGTCGATCGCCCCTGCCAGGAGCAGGCCGAATGGAACGAGGCCTGCCGGAAAGCCGGCCTCGCCTTTGTGGCGGTGGAAACCGCCGGGGTCTACGGCCGCGTCTTTTGCGACTTCGGCCCGACCCACGCGGTCCACGACGCGGACGGCGAGGCCCCCCTGGTCGTCCCGCTGGACCGCGTCGAGGCCCTGCCGCCAGAGGAAGGAAGTGGCGAAGAAGCAAGGACGGCGACGACGACGACGACGACGATCCTGGTCCGGAGCGTCGAGGGGGAACACCACGACGTCTCGGGGGGCGACACCGTCGTCTTTTTGCGGTCCGACGGATCCGTCCTCGAGGACTGCCGCGGGACGGTCGCCCGGGTCGAAACCCCCGAGCGCATCCGGGTTCGGATCGACGCCACCGAAACCCAAAACAGCGAAACCGAAACCATCGACGCGATCAACGCGGAAGCCGTCGCCTTTAGCCGGGAGAAACAGATCGAGGAAATCTCCTTCGAGCCCCTCGCCAAAGCCGTCGGCGAGGCCACCGACAAAGGGACCGCCCACRCCGTCTTCACCCCCTGCGACCTCGACAAGTCCTTCGACGAGACCCGCCGGGGGGCCGTCTTTGGGTGCTTCCAGGCCCTCGGCTCGTACGCGGAAACCCACGGTCGCATGCCCGTGCCGGGAGAGGAGGACGAGCCGGCCTTTCGGGAGCTGGCCACGGAGGCCGCCGGCGAGTRCGGAAGCGAAAGCGAAAGCGATGACTGGAAGAAGCACTGCGCGACCTTTCTGAAAACCTGCCCCGCCAAGTTCGTCCCACTCCAGGCCATCTTTGGGGCGATCGCCTCGCARGAATGCCTCAAGGCCGTGTCGGGCCTCTACAACCCCGTCCGGCAGTTTCTCYTGTACGACTGCGACGAGATTCTGGACACGACCGAAACGAAGAAARCGAAAAAGACCGCTGCCGAAGCGRCGTCGGAAGACGACGAAGAAACCACCGGCCTGTCCTACCTCCTCGGACCAGAGGTTGCCCGCCGCCTGCGGGCCCAGAAGCTCTTTGTCGTGGGGTCCGGCGCAATCGGGTGCGAGATCCTCAAGAACGYCGCCGCCATGGGACTCGGCACCTTTGGATCCGGGAGCCTCGTGGTCACGGACATGGACACGATCGAGAAATCCAACCTGAGCCGGCAGCTCCTCTTCCGGGACGAGGACATCGGAAAGTTCAAGAGCAGGGCCGCCGAGGAGGCCGTCCTCCGGATGAACCCGTCGGTGAGGGTGGAATCCCACACGAGCAGGGTCGGGGACGGGGAGGATCCGGGTCCCTTCGATCCGGCCTTCTGGTCCGGAGGGGTCGACGTGATCCTGAACGCCCTCGACAACATCGAGGCCCGCCTCTTCATGGACGGYCAGTGCGTGGCAAACAAAAAGGCCCTGGTCGACGCCGGGACCCTCGGATCGAAGGGGAACGTCCAGGTGGTGGTTCCACACCAGAGCGAATCCTACGGGGCAAGCGCGGACCCCCCGGAACCGGCGATCCCGGTGTGCACCCTCAAGAACTTTCCCTACGCCATCTCGCACACGATCCAGTGGGGCCGGGACCTCTTCGACGGCCTCTTTGTGCGGAGGCCCGTGCAGGCSAACCAGTACGCGCMGCTGTTCGCAGGCTCGGGCACCGGGGGGCTGGCCGGTGCGCTGGACGAGGAGCTGGGCGACGAGGCTGCCCTGGAAGCCGCCAGGGAGCTCGCGGAGGACCTGGCGGTGCTGCACGGAGAGGACAACGGAGCCGGCAACGAAGCYCTCCTCGAGCAAAAGGCCATCGAGTGGGCGGTTGCGCTGGGGAAAAAATTGTTTCAAACCGCCATCGAGGAACTCCTTCTGGAACACCCCCTCGACAAGCTGGACGAAGACGGAGAACGCTTCTGGTCTGGATCGAGAAAGCCGCCGCAACCGCTGTCGTTCTCGCTGGACCCAGAGGAACAGGCGGCCGAGGGCGCCGCATCCCAAAGAGAAGAGATCAACAAGAACATGATCGACTTTGTTCGAAGCGCTTCCCGGCTTCGGTACGAGACGTACGCCGGGATTCCATCGGATTCCCGGGAAAACGCCGGGATCGTTTCGCGCGAGACAGCAATGSAGGCCCTCGCTCATGCCACCGAGAACGAGAACGCTGCCCGAAAGGAAGAGGACTCCGAAACAACCAAGCGATCGAAAATCCAGGGTCTTTTGTCCCCGCTCGAAGGGCTTTCCTCGAGTGACCAAGCGGCACCACGATCCCTGTCCCCGGCCGAGTTTGAAAAGGACGACGAGTCGAACGACCACATTGCTTTCATYACCGCTGCTAGCAATCTCCGTGCCATCTGCTACGGAATCGCCCCGGTAGACGCCATGGAAACCCGCAAGGTGGCGGGRAAAATCGTGCCAGCGATGATCACGACCACCGCCTTTGTATCGGCTCTTTCGTGCATCGAACTGGTGAAGCTGACGCAGGGAATGCCGTTGAATCGCTATAGAAACGCCTTCATCAACCTCGCACTCCCGTTTTTTGCCTTCACTTCTCCCCTTCCTGCCGAGGAGTTTCCCGGCGTGAGAGGAGAAACCCACACGCTGTGGGACCAAATAAACATCAAAGAAGGAAAGAAGGCGGCGAAGGCAGGTGGACTGACCGTCCGGCGCCTCCTCAGAAGAATTCAGAAAAAGGCGCATGCCGAAGACCCCGACGCTATTCAGGTTTCYAATATTTCTATTGGGCCCATTATGATATACGCTAATTTCTTGCATGAGGACGATGAAGAACTTTTGAACAAGAGCATATGGAAAGTTATTGAGGAAGCTGTACAATCTGGGGCARAATTCGACGAAGAATTTTCTCGGGATGGCCCAGTGGCCAGCGATGATAGCGCGGCTACGGTATCTATCTCCTCGGCCTCCTTTGTCGACCTCGCAGTTTCCGTTGAAGATACCGAAACATACGAAGAAGTAGAACTTCCCCCGGTTCGAGTCTTCCGCTCGTGATTAAAATAAAGATATAGAGAACGCCTAATCTCCGACTCAAGGATCAATGTGTTTCAACCATGCTCTTCTGTTGAAARCTAGGCCGGAGTGTTTTCTATATCATCGTTGCTATTTCCGGTCAACAATCTTGCAATAGCTGATTCTGGAACCGCTTCTAGTGTGGCAACCTTCAAGGCCTTCGCAAAAAGAGATGGGAAAGAATTGAGATCGATGTGCGAAGTAGATAATGACTCTTTCCAAACTCGTTCATGCAAATACTTGCCTGGAGAGCTGTGCGCAGGGACTCCAACGATGGTTCACAATCTGTGGTAACGCAATCGACCAGTCTCCGAGTCGTTTCTTTCAATGTTTTCTTATGACGGATTTCTGTCTCGATATCTGTGTCTTCGCCGCAAAGAGGAGATTCTGCAAGTTTKTCCTTGAGACTATTTTCAATGCTTCGCGCCTTCACAAAGAAATTCTGAATGAGAAGCTTTGTTTCGGAGAAATGCAGCAAATAGTGGAGAGTCTTCGATACTTACCTGTTGGACAACATCAGATGGCCAGCCACAAGAAAGAGCCATTTCTACGCCATAACTCGATGTTGCATCACACGGCCCGATCCCTATCTTGTGGCTATATTCRATTTCTCCGTTCCCGTCATCTGGTATTGACGCTATGAGGTGCTGATTCTGAACAGCAGGGTAGGCACGGCTCATTTGGCTCATCTGTGGGTAGTGGGAGACGAAATAGGTCATGGCACCCTTGGCCAGGAGACTCTCTGCAACAGCCCATGCAATGGCTACTCCATCTTCGTTACTAGTGGCCCTGCCTAGCTCATCTAGAAGGATCAAAGACCGRGAAGTCGCATTATTGCATATGAAAGCAACCTCTTTCATTTCTAACATGAAAGATGATATGTTGTTCTCTGTAAAGAAGAAACGAATGGAATCGAAAAAAAAAGCAAAAGCGAAAAACTGAAATGAGAACATGTCTCGAAAAGAAAGCAATAAATGTCAGTAATTGCTTTGTACTCGTTACCTTGATCATCCGCAGTCATCATCCTAGCACAGAGTCGGTTGGTGAGCTGTGAATAATATCAGAGTGGAATATGAAATCGACGAGATAAATAGAATATGGTTGGATGACGYCTCTGATCGTAGCACTACGGAAACAATCTATTCTATCAGCTAGCACGGTACAAACTTACGGGGATCAAGGCTTCTTCTGCGGGCACGTAGCTTCCACAATGCGCTAAAAGAACAATGATTGCGATTTGTTTGAGATATGTAGACTTTCCACTTCCGTTGATTCCTGAAATAATAGTTAGATTTTTGGACAAGCTTGCGTAAGTATCGTTTGCAAYCCATTCTCCAGGCCCACCGTCGGAAGGAAAGACTGAATCATCCACGTCGATTCCGTATCTTCCGTTGCAAATAGCAATCGCATAGGACTCCCCTGGGTTGGCAGCAGGAGGGACTGCGCTGATGTGATCGTCACCCTCGTCGCTGGTTTCGGTTGATTCAGCCGCTGGTACTGCTCCATCGGTTAGCAACGGGCGTGCCCAAGGGAGTTTGCTCAGCGTGACTTTGTCAGCAAAGCTGTGGCAGAGGTCTAAAAGAGCGACAGCATCCGACAGACGAGCCAGGGCATCGTACTTAGACCTAGCCACGTCGAGGACCTCCTGGATTCTTTCGTGAGTAAGAATCAACAAGTCTTGGATATTGTCCTGGGATCGGGTGTTGAGGGACTGAACCTCCTCGGTAGTGCAGTATATATGTTTTCCCGACTTGGATGGCTGAATGAATTCATTGGGCAGGTTAGATGCCATTTCGAGGGGCAGCGATAGATAGTACCCCCTCGCTGCGGAATACCTGACAGCCACGTGGGAGATTCCGTGGATCTCGGCATACTCGTCGGCTTTTTTGTAAATATCGTCCACGTTGCTTAGAAAAGCCTTGATATTTTTAAAGGGGTAACCAGATTTTGTAAGTTGAAGTCACAATTTTTTTAAAACAAAGAGTTATGAATTGTTCTTGTTGTGCTTACGTACCTTTCGAAGAACGTCCATCATTCCATTGTCATCAGAGCTTTTGAGGGCGAAGCATTCCTGATGCTTCATCGCATTGGCATTACGGGTATATGACGTACTTTCGGTAAAAGCCTCGTCAATGGCATTCCGAACAATGCACAATTCTGGTTGCCTTAGCGCAAATATTATGGCACGAAGCAGCTGGTGGTCTTTGCTTGAGGAATCGGAGGACGGATACGAACCAATGGAAGCGTTTGATCCGTGCCCTTTGCCCACGCCTAGACCTATCAACAAACTAGTTTTGGCGGTAGCAATGGAAGCTTCGTCCCTTGCTTCTTGTTCGTTTTCCTCAATTCTTTCTCTGTTGTTTTGTTGCTGCTGCTGCTGCTGTTTCCGTTGCGCTTCCGTATCTCTGCTCTTGCTTTCGTTTTCGATGCGCTCCATGTGATTTTTCAGGATCGATGCGAGGACGGGAATGAATGCTAGTGTAGACTTGATGCAGACCAACGCAGAWATACCCTTGCTGGCGATGCGCGCATTCGCAGCATTGCTCTTGCCCGTGGCAGGASCTGCAGYAGGTGCTAACGGCACTGCTAGGTGGCTCGAAGCATTATTATTACTGGTTGAAGCGGAAGTCGAAGAAATTCCAAATCCTCCCCTGTTCTCTTGATGTTGCTTTCGTTGCTGTAGTTGTTCCTGTTGCTTCCTCGAAGGAACAACAACGATGTTTGTTAGCATATTATCCAAACTAGCTAGATTCTGGAGTTGTTGCAGCGTCGCGTAAAACAGATCTTCGTTGTGTAGAAATGTATCAACTAGATCTAGCCGTGCCGTTATAGTATCTAGTCTGTGGTGCGTTGGAGAAAAATAGTAAAAGCGGAATATCAAATGAGAACCAAGAACGACGAAAGCTTGCTATGAATCCGCATTTTTTAGCATCTGATCGATGAGCATTCGAAATTGGAGGGACTAAAATGATTCATTCGCATCGGACGATGGGCAATAGTCGGTTTATCTAACGTACCTGCTTGGTGGCGCCATTAGAGTCGTTCGCAGCAATCGATGTCCAACGCTAGTTTTTGTACAATCCATGGTCGAAATGAGCGAATGCTTGCGGTGATTGGACATGGATGATCCTGCKGTTGCCATGTGGCTGTTATTTGTCAACAGTTCCAACTGCAGCAAGGTGGAGCGATCTATTTCCATTCGGTGGTTGTTGTGACCACCTGTGTGTACTCGAACATCCAGAGAATGTCTGGTAAAGGTCACAGCCCCAAGGGTAAGCTGCGTATAATGAAGAACCGCATGGCAGCTGGACAGCAAAATGTATTCTTCCACTAGAGTAGAATCGTATGTGTCTTGCCTTGCGAGTCGTCGGAGAAGATCGGCCCCCTTGGTTTGGTCAAAGTAGGACCGCGAAATGAAYTTGACAACGGTCGCCTCTTCCTCGGAAGAGATAGCAGCTTGCCCTGTCTCTCCCGTKGATCCTGTTRCCATCGAGTCGTWTTGCTGTTGCTGCTGCTGATGCTTTCGTTGAACATCGAAGTGCTGGAGGACTTTGCGGGCGAGGGGAGAATGATAGCGGCCTTCGTTCATCAAGACCTCGTCCGGGCACAAGACCGACAAATAGGCAATTGTTTCCGAATAACTCTGTCCATTGCTCTGCTTGGTGACATTGAGCAAGAAGGGAGCCGACAAATCCAGGGACACRACGCAGGTTTCCCGAGCTAGGTTCTCTCCAATCGCGCAAAGAATATGGGGAGATGACGACGAGGCATTTCCTTGCATAATGCACGAATTGCTACGACGGCTACAGCGGCTGCGACCACCGGCATGATTGCGGTTGCTGCTACTRCTGCTTGCAATGCCGAGATTKTGTCGGCGTCGAAGACGATTGCGGGCATTGCTGGAGCGAGAAGCGGCACTCGAAACGGATCTACCCGAAGAATGACAATGATATCTAGCACTGTTGYTCGCGCATACGACATTGAATCTTCCGTTGTTACTACCACCAATGCGCTGCTTCTTCGTCTTCTTCGAGATATCTCCCTGRCTATCCCGAGTTGCGTTCCGATGATGATCCATAGCAGTACGAAGGTGTTTGATGGAGGAAAGAGGGAACTGGAAATCAAGATAAAGAGAACACAACTCTACTCACAGTAAGTAATTTTGAATAGTAAATTTGATTCGATATTGCTAMTATTGCGAAGGAAGATGAATACCACATTATGATTGCGTTCCTAGTGTGATTCTAAATCACGAGTARGCGCTTACGATTATCTTTTTGTTCACGAAATCGATAATGAGAGAAAAATCGTTGCGATTTCGCATGAGAACTCGTATTTCTACCGTACGAGTACGTAGTTCTCTCTTCTAGTGTACCGTACGAGAGAAGAAAATCGTTAGTCGTGAAGCGTTCGCGCAAGAAAAAAGGACTCGTTCGATTAAAACCACCCCAGTTAGTTTCCGACATGAAATTGATGGCGCCTATCTGACAGAAACTGGATTTTTGTTTCATGCTTTCAAGAATCATTACTAGTAGGTCTGCATCTTAACGTAAAAGAAAATGTTTGTAAGGCCATATTTTCGTCTGTCAATTCATATCATATTCTTACRTTTCATAATCTTCGTCGGAAAATGTACGGCAAATTTTAGGCAAATTTTGCTTCATTCCCAGAGAAAGGTGCCGTTTCGAAAGTAACCAACTCTTACTCAAMTAATTTTTGGTATCGTTTAAATTATAATGGATTCTCGGCCAAACTCTATACGGAGTTACTAATACTTRAGTACTAATCTAGTGGGCTTACAAAACATGATTCAGTAGCTAATCGCGTTCGTTTCGGTTGCACAAAGTGTACTAAGCTCCGCAACAGGATTTCTRACATTTTGCCGGCTCCTTGTAGTCCGCTGGCATTTGACCACAGTCCTCGATCACGACCTCAACCTCAGGTCGGTCATTGGCTCCGACAGAGACATCCTCGACTTGTCGAACAATATCCATTCCCTCCACAACGTGCCCAAAGACGACGTGCTTTCCGTCCAAATGGGGCGTGTCCTTCGAGGTGATGAAAAATTGGGAACCGTTGGTTCCGGGTCCGGCATTGGCCATTGACAATTGGCCGGCCTTTGTGTGCTTGATCACAAAATTTTCGTCGGCRAATTTTTCTCCGTAAATCGAYTCACCACCGGTSCCGTCTCCACTGGTGAAGTCGCCTCCCTGGATCATGAAATCCTTGATGACGCGGTGGAATCCGCATCCCTTGAAATGCAATGGCTTTCCTAGCGTTCCCTCTCCCTTTTCACCCGTGCASAGAGAGCGGAAATTTTCAGCTGTCTTSGGCGTGATRTCCGCGTAAAGCTGCATAACAACCTTGCCCAGATTCTTKTCTCCGTGTCGAATGTCGAAGTAGACATGCGGATTGTCRYCCTTGGCGTTCGGAATGAGTGGCCCCTTCTTGTCGCCGTAAAACCCTCCCTCGACGCGACCAAACATGCCACCAAAGGCTGCTTTTTCCTTGTTCTTTGCTTTCTGGGATGCCTCCTTAAGTTGCTTAATGGCTTTTCTAACGTCCTTGTTGCTGTTGTCGATTTTGTAAGCGTCCATAAGATCGGCCTTCGCTTCCTTGTACAATCCAAGGTGCATGCGGGCGAGTCCTCTACGGTAAAGAGCCTTGATGTTCGAAGTRGTTTCCGAATCGATTTCCAAKACCTTGTCGCAGGTTCGGATAGCATCCGGCCAGGATTTGAGTTTGATGTAACACATGGCAGCGTTTCCAAAACAACTGACATAAAGYTGGCGTTCRYCTTCCGGTATGTCGTTTCCAGAAATTCCTTCTTCGACTGCAAAGAGAGCGGATTCCTCGTATTGAGCTGCTCCTTCCTCGAATCGCTTTTCTTTGAAAAATTCTGTGCCAGCGGCCTTCATCTTTTCGGCTTCGGYGATTCGTTCTTGCGGCGATAGTTGCCATCGCTCTTTGGGTTTTTCTTTGAATCCAAGCAGTTCCACATCGAAAAACAGGTCGGCTTTGGCGGGGATTGTGGGAGGCGATCCGGTTTCTCCGTACGCATAATCGTATCKGATCTTGAGAAYGGCCTTTTCTCCGACCTTCATGCTAGCAAATCCCTCGTCCCATCCCTTGATGACCTGTCCCTGGCCGATGGTAAATTTGAAAGGCTTGCCACGATCACGGCTCGAATCGAATTTGCTTCCGTCCGAAGCCAGTGTTCCTAAAAAATATCAGTAAGATAGTTCAGTTTTCATGGGAAAAACCGCATTCCATAGTTGATTAATCGTTTGATGATTTGAATTAGATTTGAGATGGATTTGAGAAAGAGCAAAAACACGACGGCGTAKAAGTTGGGGTAAGAAGAAAATTCAAAGGCAAACACATTACATTCAGAATTGTTTGAATCGACATTTTTCCATGATTGAATCTTTTCCCGATAAAGAAGAAACGCACCGGTGTAATGGGCTTCTACTTCGTTTCCATTGGGTGGGGGACCTCTGGCTCCTTCGGGTGCCGCTTGGAGGATCTTCTTTTGGACACCCCCGTCCTGGGCGACGGAAACGTCGATGTAATCATTGTCGTCTGCGCTCATTGTCCTCGCTACTTTTTATTGTGCTTTCCACTATTTTTGGCTCCTGTCTTAGAGTGAATGTGTAGAACGTTTTGTTTTGGAAAAGAGAAACCAAACTCTTGGGCGGTCTTGTCGTCGCGAGTGTGACTGTGATCGTTGCTCGTTGCTCGTTGCTCGTTGCTCTTATCGTAGAGTATCGTTCAGTTCCGTTCCGTTCCCTTCTCTGTCGTAAAGGTTTTCATGGAAATAACCGAACCCTAGGTTTGTGGCCATTGTTTTTTCTCGCATGTTAGTGGGTGTTTTTGATTGGACGAGTTTGGCTCTTCGGCGCGCGGCRGGGTCAAAATAGATCTCGAAAGAAGAAAAATGACAAATGATTCGAGAGATGCATCTTTTTCATTCCGCACGAAAGAGTCCCGTACCGGTAAAAGAACAGACGATTGSAAAGGTTTTACAGCAATTTGTGCATGAAAAAAGTCRGSAGACGGGGAAATCGGGCAAAAGRTGAYWTCGAGGGGATTCGAACCCCCGCCAATTAAGACAACGGCCTTAACGTTGCGCCTTAGACCGCTCGGCCACAATGTCACATGCACCAGCCGTGAATCGAACACGGGGCCCAACGATGGCAACGTTGGATTTTACCACTAAACCACTGGTGCTTTCATAAGTGTCAAAATATTCTGTTTGTATACTCTACATCCTTTCGATGAATGGTAACATGATGCCAATAATTGRTTCTTCCTTTTGCTCGGAAGAGTAACTAAAGAGTTTACCCAACAGAAAACATAAAGCGTACTCTTACAAACTCTTGACGAAAGGACCAAATGAAAAAGAGCTAGAGTGAAATGTTTGCTTTTCATGAAGTATAATGAAAGGATTGGTACCATGACGATATACTATTACTGGTAGTCAGCACGTGTGATGCACAGCTAAATACGTATTCGATTTGCACAATTCGAAAAAAGAATTMATTTCATTATYATTATTTTGAGCTAAACTYATTAGACGTTCTGAGACATCAGCGGCTGCTGTTCCCCTCCTTGGTAGCTGCTATATTGCTGAGAGGGCACTSCAGCTTGATTTGCGTACAACGGATGGACGGATTGCTGCTGATGCTCGCCCCCGTTGAGCCTGGCAACCTCTGCTTCTTCTTCCTCCTTTTTCTGCAATTCGTGCTCGTATCGGAGATACTTGCCGTTGAAGGTAGCAAAATACACCGTGACAAGAGTGTGGAGAACAATCAATAGGTAAAACGAAAAGGTGTACTCCGGACGCTCRACGATTTCACCGTCTTCAATCGATGATGTTCCAATGTCTTTCAAAGACTTGAAGAACGGAATGAAAATGGCACTCAAGAGATTGGAAAAGAGCTGCTGGATGACGAGAACGGTGTTCTCACTCAACGGATAAGCAACTTCCACTCCGAGTTCTGTGGAAATGGGCTGGAGTGGCCCAACTARGACAGCCACCAAGAGCAACGACCAACGCAAATCACCTCCTCGATTCGAATCTAAACTGACGCCACACTCCGCAAGACCAAAGGCTCCCAAGACAAGCATACCGGTGGTCACGGAGTAATAAGCCCTGGTATTATCGGTTTGTTTTCCCATAATCAAACTGGAAACCATGATTGCAAACTGAAAGGCTCCTCCAACAATACCGGTGTAGGACCTTGGGGCTCCGTTCAGACGAACGAGATAGTCCATGTACGTCGACAGGGTATTGATTACGATTCCRGAAACAGTAAACGCGGCAAGAGCGTGGCTGAAGCCTTGTCGAATCATGCAAGCGTGCAGAGATCTGACAACCTGATCGTCGCGAATATCAATATCCAAGTGATGGTTCGTAACGGTGACGGTAGGCTCTGCACCGTATTCGCCATAGGCATCGATGTCGTAGGCATTCCTTTGGGGATCAAAWTCCGCAAGAGTTGGAGGGAAATGGTGCTGGTRCGAGTAGGGGTTCATCATCATTTGGGGMGGTGGTGGATAATACCCACCCATCGGTGGTGCTCCTCCCGGCGGTCCCATCGGTGGCTGTTGCATTGGATGCTGMTGGTAGTACATCTGCTGTTGCATGTAGGCTTGTTGGTGCATTTGTTCCATCATCCTTGGATCCATGTAGGGGKGGTATTGATACGCACCGGGTGGATAACCGTAATGGTAAGGCATGGGCATCTGACCVGGATAAGGCGGACCCATTGGCATCTGACCCGGAGGATTCGCACCGGCATTCAGACCGGGTGMACTTTCRGGATTTGCATCCTCTCGGTTGGGAGCACCTAGATCTGCATCCGAATCCGTCGGGTTTCCGGACATGGGCGCCGGCGAGGGCGCCTGCGCAACTGGAATGAGAGATTCYAGCTCCGCATTCGTCCTCGCCACTTCGTCCATTGCCTCTCTAGTAGACCCATAATGCGCATTCGAAGGAGCAGACAATCCGTTTTCTGCATTTGCGGTTTGAAACTTTTGTGCAGARTTTCGTCTTCTCGCCGAGCCCCCACGATTGCCTCCCGACGACGATCGGCCGGACTTTTTGGATTTGGACGATCGTCTGTATTTTTCCTTCTCYTCCTCGGGGGGGAAACTGCTGGCAGCGGGACTCGGGGCGTGTGATTTGGGTTTTGGATTCGACAGGTTGCTCGAAAAGTATCGCTTGAGTTGCCGATCGGCAAACTGAGGTATCTTGAAATTCAGGTTCCCTTTCATGACRCGTGCCGAAGCCGAAGGAGGAGTTGGCGGAGCATCGTCGAACTGGATCAGCGTACCAATGAAGCAAAGCGTTGAAATCTGGCTGAGAAGCCCAAAATAGCCCGGGATGTCGTCGGCTTTCGAGACCAACAAGCACCCAAAAACAAAGGCAAACCCAATTCCAAGTTGGTTTGCATTCAGAGCAACACCGGTCGCCATTGTACGCTCCTCCTCTGGGAACCAGGACGCCGAAAGCAAWGCGGGGGTGCACTGGTAGAGAGGTTGCGAAAGACCGACAATAAAAAATCCGAGGTACAAACTCGATTCTGCGTGACCTTTTTCGARGCTTGGCTCCATGATTGGAGGCAGCCCTCCACTCTTGAYAATGCTTCCAATCATGAGGAGCAACGATCCCAACAAAACGGTGCGCCGGAGACCCAGCCGGGCAAGAAGCATGGGCTCACAAGCAGTACCGATTGCGTTGGCGCCTAGAAACACAACGACCAGTCGTTCTGGGTCGATGTTTCCAAAGGCTTCTTCCGTCAAAAGCGAGATAGGGGCCACCGAATAACAGGTCCAGTCCGACAAAAGATTCAAGACCGACATGTAAAAGAGCATAATCCAACGTTGCCAGTACACCGTAAAGGTCTGGCGACCGGTAGGTGTGCTCGGGACCGCRATCTTCTCTGTAGATCCTCCATCAGTTGCAGAAATGCCCTTTGATTCGGCATCGCCGGTCGCTCCCTGGSAGCCACTGCCTGGGTTTCCTCCGGGGCGAYCCGATGGAGTTTCTCYCGTGTTGCCGCCACTRCCACCGCCGAGTCCGTTTCCCTTTSGGTTGCCACTACTCCTTCCACCCGAAGCTCCCGGATTCGAAGCCTGCTTTCCAGTAGCGGACCCCGAGGACCATGCTTTCCTAGCCACGGGTTTCTTGGAAATATCGTCGTCTTCGCTGTATACGAGGCTCGCCAAGGATTTGTCCGACTGGATTCCACTTTTTGAGCCATGGGAAGACGCCATGGATTTCCAGTACGCATGGGARGCATTGTTTGTGCTGCTCGATCGGCTGTATTCGAATTCACTGTCGCTGGGCGGTGTGGTTGCCCACGCCATCATTTGCTGGTTTGTCATTGGTTGCTGAGAGTAAAAGACTGGGACGAGCCCGGGGGATTGGTTCATGTACGCCGGCTGRCGGGATTGCTGAGGGGAACCCTGCACATAGTAGCCTCCCTCGCGAGCCGATACGTCCATGCCTYGATGCATCGYTTCGGGCCCGGTGCTGGCAACACTCGGAAGGCTCGAGTTAATACTGTCGTCTCCCGTATAAGTTCGCCTGCGATTGCTCTCTTCGCCCTCGCCACTGCCCGAATCGTAATCGACCTCCCTGTTGTTGTCGCTACTAGCAGAACTAACCAGAGAACTCACAGAGTGCATTCGGGTGATTCGCTGGGGGTAGAGATTCATGTCCACAACAGACCTATTTGGGTGCACCACCGGAGACAAGTGAACCCCACCTTCCATGGGCTGCAGGATACGATCCTTAGCCTTTCTGGGATCGTGGTCGTCTTCGCTTTCGTCCGAGAACGAGAGGGAAGCATCGCTYCCCTGCTTGTTGATCTGAAAAAGGCTGGATCCGGCGGGCGCCGAGGCGTGGCTTGCATTGCTGGAAATGGAAAAACTCCGCCCACTCTTGGGGCTCGGGAGATGGGTGGCAAAATAGGAAGAATCGTCGTCTGAGGAAGACTCGTCGTCTTCCGGGCGCTTTCGCTCCCGACGGGAGCTGCTGYGGTGACCGTGTCGCCGGCTGGACTTGGTGGGCGCCTTCTCCGTTTTGGAACGAGATCCGGCACTTGTGGCCTCGGGTTCCTTGCCTTCCTTCGAATGCGGTTTKGTTCCTTGTTCGCGATCCTTGGCGCCACCGGTTCCCTTTGGCAGTTTATTGGATTCGTTCACCTTGTTCTCTTCCTTTTTCATATCCATCGATACTGGTGGATCTGGAGTGATCGGTGTGCTCGACCCATTCGCAACAGCGCCCGAAGAAGGAGCACGCWCRGGSGTCTTCTCGGTTTTCAGGGGAGGCATTGCTGCAGCCTGCTTCTCTTTCTCGTGTGGTTTGTTTTTGGATTCGATGGCAATCGGGGCATCGCTTTCCTCCGGAACCAGCTCGGGAACGTCTTCGGTCGACAGCAACCGTTTTTCTTCGGTTTCTGACGTGTGTACCGTTCGATCGGAAACGCTGTTCATTCCCGTGAGAGAGGARTCCGTGCTGGTCGCCTCAACCACTTTGGCTTTMGACGACAGGAATTCCTCCGCCGGTTCTTCCAGTCGGCGGAATATAGCCGAAGGCATTTGGTACCGAGATRCTTTGTGTCACACTACCAGTTCCGTGGCAACGAATCAGCTCGGGTCGGCTTGGATGTTTCTGGGAGCTATCGTGCTGTGTAAACACAACAACAATACAAACTAGCTACGAAACCAGGCTCTGTTTTGCAACTATTGATCTTCTWTAATACTGCGGCGCTTACCCAAAGCAACAACCGTCCTTTGGTCCACAATTCCGTGTTGGGGAAAAGTGAGACCAGTGACTTGCTTGTATGCCGTAATGCCTGTTGGGCGGTGTTTCGTTTTTTGGTGACAAGAAGCAGAGTGCTTCRTTTCGTTGATGTTGTCTTCGATTCAATCCCTGAAGTAACGTACCGTACGGTACGGCAAGCAAGCTCAAGGGACGGAACGCGAGTCCGTTCGGCACACTACTGTTTCTGYACTGTACTCTACGATACTCTGCAGCAGCAGGGAAGAAACCCTGTTTTTTTGGCAATGCTGCTTCCGATCTTTGCGACGCTCAAGTGATGCGTGATATGCATCGATGCGAGCGTATCATTCCCAAATCCAACCGTCCCAGAGGCACTGCAGGCGCGTGCGTTGTCTCAATTTTGGACAATATCCAACGGCAGCAAAATATGATTGGGAGATTTCTTGCTGGTTGGTCCGAATGCAACACATACAATGCGCGCCAAAAAATGTTCTTTCGGGAAGTTAACAGTTGACACCTTCTTTGTACGGTTATTTTTTTACTGCTTGCGTCGTGCATTATTCGCATTTCGTACTAAACCCCCGGTMTGTGTTTGCTGCTTGCGTTTGTTGTACGCGTGACTCAACAGACGACTTACTTTTTGACGAGCTAAATAAACGTTGTCTTGGAAAGACTAGTACTAGTAGTAGTAGTACATACAATACTACTGAGTATTTATTAGTACTGAGTTCTACAACTACTACTACTACTAGTAATAATACGTACCCCTTTGCTGTTGTCCATTCTTTCATTCTTGAGCTTGGACTAATCTTCTCCCCCCCACGCTCTCATTTTCTAGTACTACTACTACTACTTGTACTGCTCTCCTATTTCCCCTCTCCTAGTACTAGTACTACATTGCTTTGTGACGACTAACACCCACATATACAACATTACTAGTAGTAGTCTACCTTGTTACTACTTTGTGGCTACTAACACCCACATATTACAACTACTGTTGGTAGTAGCAGTGTAACTACTACCACCGTAAGAAGCTGCTAGTACTAATGGCTGTTTTAATATTATTTTTTCCCTATTGCTACGAGTTTCATAACA